GCGAAGGTCGCGCTGAAAAGATGGAAGTGTCGCGTCGGCGATGTCTTTCGGAGAATGCCTTACGTCGGCGCGGCGCAGTATGGATCAGGTGCGGTTAGAGAGGTAATTAGCTTGAAGACCGGAACGAACCACCAAGAGTGGATCAATCTGTTGGAGGCTGGGGCGCACGTGAGATTACGTAGTCGCTACTGTGGCTCCTCACCCGGATCCGGACCCCGGATTCTAGAGCTCTCCGCCGAGGTCGGCCACCCACCATCGGCAATTCTGCACCGATTCCCGACATCTTTCGCCCACCTGGCGCCGAATGAAGCTACTTACACCTGCCTTTCCTGCTCAACCTCAGTTGTCTTATCACGACGAACACAAAGCGAATAATCAAGAAGCCGCTGGTTCGCCCTACCCTACCTTATGACTCATTGTTCAAGCAGCTTCACACGCGAGCTTCTCGGTTAAATTCAGCCAGCCCATCGTTCGAAGCAATGATTGATTCCAACCAACGACTATCTTACCTCATCTCACCCACCAGCATACATTGCATAGGTTTTGGGATTAATCCGGGTACCTCTCAGACTCGGCCGCTTGACCTCTTAAACCGACGTTATCATGGTGGCCGACAACGGGGAAGAGACTCCCAGAGAGAAAAAATAAAATGTCGTGATACTGCAGATGGCCTGTCGTAAAGAGAGCGGGGTTGCTACCTTCGACGTGGTCGTGCTACATTGCGTGCGATATCCTCTATCAGTCGAATCCACCCTTGAAGTCTGATTCGTTGTATATGGTGCAAGTCAGCGTTGCACAATCCGGATATCTATCTCGTTCCACTCGTGCGCATTAAGAACCTTGAGTGCAGTACTTGCCTACATGACTTGGAGAACTTCGGCTGTCAAAATGGCAACCAGACTCTTCATTCACTTGCTAGGTTCGAACCCGGCCTCGTGGGTTTACCTGCAGTGACCTAACTATTTCGGCTCTCAGATTGGTGCAAGGTGCGGTTATACTCACGGGAACCGAATTATCTACTAGCGTAGTGTCTATGATGTCTTACAACGAGATCAAGTGACTGAGCGTTTCCCATGTGTCGCGCGAACCATTCCAGCACTGAGGGAGAACAGCCGACTATGTTCGGCTGACTTACACGAAATTGGCGACATTGACACAACCCCCGCCGAGACATTCAGCCCGACTGACCAGGCACATACCTATTCGACTTGATAATGCTGCTAAAGTGAGCAGGCATGATGAAGGGCGGCGGCGCATGGGTTTCCATATTCCAGGCGTGCAGTTGACACATGCACGCGCCACCACCCTTCCCCTGCCGCGCCTGGAAGGAAGTTAGGAAACAGAAACGCAGCGCACTCCAGCGGCAAGCCAAGGTGCCGAGGAGGACAGAAGTACCGGGTACGAGACCCTTTACGTAGCCAATATGTAATACGCCTGGCGTCATTGGTACTCGTTACGTAGTGCGTTAGTCTTTCCGGCAGGGCACTTACGGCATCTTACGGCATCGCAGCTTAGCCTTCAGGGGGATCCCCCAGGGCTCCAAATCCCTACCTTATTTCCCGTTACCTTCCCAGTCGGAGTGCATGCGCGGCCCCAAAAGAATGGATTCGTGATTCCTGCCCGTAGATAAGGGATCCGATCCGGCATCGTACCCGTTTCGTTTTCCGACTCAACGAAGCTTCCCGCCGCCCTCGACAACCTCTATCTTTCCTTCTCTCTTCTGCCTACAATCTCGATTCCTCTAGTCCTCAGACAACAACCAAGTCTTCATGTCCCCTACTGACTTCGTCAATATCGCTATGAACACTGCTCCCCCGATAGTACACTAAAACACCAAATCGCCTACAATAACCCCAACCTTCGCAAACTGCACCCCTCTTCCCGACTCTTCGCCGTCATCGGTGCCGATTATCGCTGCCGTTCCTCGCTGACGAGCAATCCGCCCTCTGCCGCCAACCGGCCGAAGCATGATACCTTGAGACCAACAATTTCATCGTTGCCCAGTCTGCAGAAACAATGTCAGGTCCACGGGAGAAAGAGCTGCACCGCGCGCGGCTGGTTGCCAGCGTCGCAGCCACGGTCATTTCTCTAGCATGCGGTACCAACGTGAGTTGGCGCGATCGAACGACATCCCTACCAGACCTACGGTCACCCCCAATGTAATATATGAGCTGACATATCTCTGCTATACAGTACGTTTACTCGGCATGGTCACCTCAATTTGCTGAGCGATTGAAGCTCTCATCGACCGAAACGAACGTCATTGGCCTGTCTGCCAACCTGGGAATGTACTCTCTGGGCGTTCCCGTCGGCATGCTCGTCGATCATAAAGGACCTCGCTCCGCTGTCATCATTGGCTCCGTCCTGCTCGCCCTCGGATACTTCCCTTTCCATATCGCCTACGACCGCGCGGCTGGCCCCGTGCCGCTTCTCTGCTTCTTTTCATATCTGTCTGGTCTCGGCGGGTGTTTGGCTTTCGCAGCGTCTGTCAAGACATCTGCCCTCAATTGGCCTCATCATCGAGGAACTGCCACCGCTTTTCCCCTGGCTGCCTTTGGTCTGAGTGCCTTCTTCTTTTCGACGTTTGGGAGTCTCTTCTTCCCCGGAAACACCAGCGCTTTCCTGGCCTTACTGTCCATCGGGACCTGCGGTTTGACCTTCTTCGGTTTCTTCTTCCTGCGCGTCTATCCTCACGCCACCTATCACAGCCTGCCAGCAAGCGATGGCCTTTCCGGCTCGCAGCAGCTTCGACGTACTTCTTCGGAAGAGGCCAAGCCCAACCGACCGGGCTATGGGCACCGCGGCGCTCCGGTTGAACCTGGTACGTCGCCCAAACTTAACAATACCACTACCACCATCAACTCCACCGCCGACCACGAGCCGGTTCATTCCGAGTACGAATCGTCCGCGCCGTCTCGCGAGGCTGATGAGGCGCAAATCGAAGCCGTCGAAGCCGATGATTATGAGCCCGACGAGACGTCCTCGCTGGTGTCGAGCTCCTCTTCTATGCCCGGTGATGTCTTTGTGCAGAGCAGTGTTGATCTGGATCGTTCTCATCGAGTAGATATTCGTGGTTGGGCTCTTTTGCGTGAAATCGACTTTTGGCAATTCTTTCTCATCATGGGCATTCTTACCGGTATCGGTTTGATGACAATCAAGTGAGTATCAGCTGTTCGCTAACCTACGTCAATACTTGGTGCTGACAAGTCGCTAGCAACATTGGAAACGATGTAAAGGCCCTTTGGCGTCATTATGACGAGTCTGTAGATGAGGCCTACCTCATCACGAAGCAGCAGATGCACGTGTCCATTCTGTCGATTGGCAGCTTCGCAGGCAGACTTCTCAGCGGTATGCTGACTCAAGATTATCGCTCATCCAAATGTTCAAGCTAACTCGAACTACAAAAGGCGTCGGCTCCGATTTCATCGTAAAGGTCCTCCATGGCAGTCGTGTGTGGTGCCTCGTGGCATCCAGTGCCGTGTTCTTCGTGGCACAGCTCATGGCTCTCCACGTCACAAACCCTCACCTGCTCGGATTGGTCTCTGGCCTATCTGGCATCGCGTACGGTTTCCTTTTCGGGGTCTTCCCTTCTATCGTGGCCGAAACGTTTGGCATTCACGGCCTAAGCCAGAATTGGGGGCTGATGACGCTCTCGCCCGTCGTCTCCGGTAACGTATTCAACATTTTCTACGGTAGAATCTACGACAGGCATAGCGTCGTGGGCCCGGACGGCGAGCGCGTCTGCCATGACGGGCTGAACTGTTATCGTGCAGCGTATCTCATGACGCTGGGTGCATGCTCAATCGGGCTGGTGCTTACCCTGTGGGTCATCCGTCACCAGCGAGTGAAGTGGGCAAAAGAGGAGAAGATGAAGGCGGAGCAGGATGACTGAGAGGTTTTGCTCAGGGGGAACACAAAAGTGTAGGTGAGTGAGGAGAGAGGCAAATCTTTCCCTCTCAGTACTTGACATATGGTCGTCTCTGCGAGTACGGCTGGGTGTCATGTCTTCAACATAGATTTCACTTCAACGGCCGTAGATAACTCATAGAGGAATGGCGTTTTGGGTAGCTATATTTTGGGTTCACGAGTATCGACACTCACTACCACAGCGGAAATCAATGGGAAATCGTAATTCGTCTTTCATCCCTACTGTATGCAGAGCCTCAGTCACGGGACCAAGTAAGTATAGGATCGGTGAAGTTCCGAATCGATTGTTGAGAGCTTTCATCATTCCTAGCGGCGCTACACCACGCTCGTCTCTTGCGGCAAGCGCCTCATCCACACTCCCTTCTGACTAAGGGACGCCCCTGAATGGGCACTACCTCTCTACACGAGAAACTCTTGAGAACTTTCATCCGCCAACGTATTAAAAACGAGACACGGGGATCTCAACACAAAAACCTTAAAACCCGCGTCGTGACATTATACAATATCGTTTGAAGCGAAGCACCACCCCGTCCCCTAATCCAGGGACTGTTGTCCCACCTTACAGAATCGCCCTTCCGGCGGACGTTTGTTGCAACGCAATGATCCCCGGGCTGAGAATGGGTAGAGGAAGAAAAAAGCCAAGGATACCTCCGACACCTCATAGTCTGGTCCCTTGGAAAAAAATGTGTTCGTCCAGACTCCTCTAACCAGAAAAACGTGTGAATCGTACTAAACTCCCAGCCGATGCAAGATGCAGGTGGACAAACAGTGATGAAAACACGGAATATTGTAGCGACACCGTTGTCACGATAGACTGGTATCAGCGTACTACCGAGACAGTGTTTGTCAAGCTCTAGATGGGAATATCCGAGACCATCTATTACGAAGAAAAAAAAGGACCCCCGTATGAGTTAAACGTCGTTCGCCGACGAGCTAACTTAGACTGCAGTATATACAGCGCGGAGCGATTAGAGCGGGTGGCTGTTACTGTTGCCGCAAACCGAGTTCTAAACAGAGCCGACGCGAACAGCAATATTCCACCGAGTGGAAAAAGTCGAGTCCCAGTCTCGTCCTCATGGAGTTTTACTACGTTTACGGTCTTCTTGATGACCGTCAAATATTGAACTAAACCCAGCGAGCGGCCAGTTGTCCGTAGTCGAATGAACAATAACCAGCCAGGCAGCTATCAAGTTGACGAGATAGTGCAGCATGTAGGCGTAAGAAACACCATAGACGGCAGCGTAGATGGCCGTGCCAAAGAGCAGTACACTCGTGAGGTATCTCATCCTGCCCGTGACTCTGGGGACCATCCTACCCGTGGTCAAGTTCTCCACGAGTAATATGAACGGCATAATTGATAGCACGTTGTGGTGCGAAGAGAAGGGCGTAAGCCAGTGGACGGCAAGGTTACGGATCCACACCGCCAGAATGGGCAGGTTAATAGGTAGGACCCAGAGCATGAGAAGCAGAATGGAGTGGGCGTAGTGGTAGAAATCTTGGGTAAGCCCAGACTTGACCTCCGAGGCAATCCGATGAGCGCGAACGACGGTGAAGAGCTGGACGAGACACGCTACCAAGTACGCAAATTGATAGGGTATGAACGTGGATACCAGGAATAGCAGAACGGCAGTTGTTATCATGCGACGTCGAGGCGAGGACGCAACGAAAATGGGCAGCTGCGGCCTTCGGCGCTCATCTCGCCCGGCTGCGAATGGTCGAAGAGCTATCCAGGCGTAGAGAATACCGAGAACCTGCGTCAATGCCAGGGTGACAAAGTGAAGGCACGCGCACACTCCTACACAGACGACTCCGATCAGAGGGATGAGGAACCAGAAGAAGGGGTCCTGGGTGCCTGTAAGCAGGTCGTTGCTGTGGAAGTCGGCTTCTGCTGAAGTCGTGTTGCGCCAGTGCCAGAACACGCCAGGGCCAGATGACCACGATCCGGTCATTGACAAGGAGAGGAATGTCAAGGAAAGAAACATCAGTGGTAGTGATTGCCGCAAGCAGAGATCCAAGCTTTCCGAAAAAGAGATGAACGCTCCAGTGGTGTCGTAGATCCGGAACTGCTTGCGAAGAACGAGTGCCACCACGAGCAATGGGAAGGCCGCAAATACGGTCCGATAACGCATATACAGCTTGCCCAAGCTACCCAACGCGTCAACCGTGAGCGTAACTTGGATGGCGGATTCGCACGTTGGATCGGTCCAGAACTGGAGACTGAGTCCCTGTTCGTCTTGAAGTTTGTGTCTAAGAGGTGGCGGAACGAACGGAGCTACCCCATGCAAACTTATGCTAGCATGTCTGGCGTTGACGAAAAACTTAGACTCGTATGGCTGAGCCAAGTGTTGCCGTATAAGAGGTGAGAATAGCCCAGAGGATGAGCCGCAAGCCTGGTTGCCTATCTCCAAGTTATATGCCAGTAGACTAGATTGAATGGTGGGAATGTTAATCTCGGCAACCAAGGGACGGTTAGCGGGCAGCCGCAGCGTCATCCCAAACGCGAGGATTCGTCTAAGGCTGATGTTGCGCCTTCTGTGTGATTGCGAATAGTCGCTGAATTCGGCTACAACAAAGTTTTGACTTGGCTTAACAGCCTTGTCTATGACGGCCACAAATTGGTGATCCGCAATATCCTCGACATCGAACTGAAGATACGAGAATGGCTTGGTCACTGGCTCGTTCTCCAAGGCAAAGGGCTGATGGAGCGTCCTTGTCGAAGGGGGAAGCAAAATGGCGTCGGACGCAGCGCTCTTGCAAGCCAGCCTAGTAGACCCTGTGCTGTCGCCCGACAGGTCCATGTGTGTAGAAAACAGCGTCGCTGCCTGCCCAGGCTGCAGAGGGAACACGCTGCAAAGCAGGACCTCGAGCTTTCCGTGTTCTCCTGGCTTGTCTAATGCGCTGTCGGTGAGGAGGGTGAAGCGCTTTCCCTCAGGAGATCCTTGGGGAGGTACTGGAAGCAGATGAGCTGTGATTTTCGGGTCATGACCCAGCTGTCGCAGGACTAGGCGTTCGCCTTGTGCCTTGATGGCGTTTGAATTGTCCTCGAGTGTCAGCAGTGTATTTGGCCCCTCGGCTGCCATAGTCTGCTCGGCGATAGACTCCATGCCAGTAAGGAAGTACTTCTTGAAAACGCGCATTCTCTCAGCCCTGGGCTTGGTCTGTGAAGACCTGTGGACATCAACTACGTCGTACATGGCGCGAGAAACAACTTTCCGAAATTGATCGCACCATAGAATGGCCTGGTGATCCATACTAGTCCAAACACCTGGGATTCCGGTGGTGAAGACAGTGAAGCCATGTGTCTCGGGGATTATCGGCTCGATGCTTGCGTAGTCGGACGGAACGACAGTGTCTAAGCCACCTCCAGCGATTGAGACAAGAGTAACATGCCACAAAGGGTTGTTGTTGGCCCATTTCTGTGAGTATGCATGACGCCAGTAGTCGTTGATATCGTCGTATATCTTGACAATCTGTCCGTCAAAGGTGACAGGAGGACGCGAGTGGGGTGCAGACATGGTTATAATGGTGTTGATCGAGTTGGACTGGTAGTTCGGCATGATGAGCATGGTGCGCGCGACGATGCCGCCCATCGAATGACCAAGAACCAAGACAGAAGTTGGATCTGGCAAGTCCTGGTCCCGAGCTGACATGCGCGGGTCCATGTAAAGCGACAAGATGTACCTGATGGCTTCGTTCAAGTACTCGGCCTGGTCCAGCATGGTCTGGCCGTGGAAGGCGGTGATGTCCTCGTTGAAGTCGACGGTAAAGAAGTCGAGGTTCCTGGCGCCGGCCGCGATAGCAGCCTCATCGTGTTGAAGAGATTCATGGTAGTAATTTGCAGCTTCAGCGGCTATGGGTCGAACTTGTTTGTAGCTTCCGGCATTACCTGGGATGAAGAGTACGGGAACGCCTCTCAGCTGTGAAAGGTCAGCGATCTGCCATAGCCCCGGCGCGAGAAACAAGACGCACCTTTCTTTCGTCGTCAACGCCCTGTTCACGATACAGGTATAGCGAGTATTTGGTCGCAAACCGGGTGTGTTCGGTATCGAAGTCACGAAGACGAATGTAGGAAGGTCGCATGTACGACATGCGGCATCCCTTGGCATCGAGCTGGCGAGTCCATGACGAGTTCAATATAGCGCATAGCAGAGTAATTCCAAGAACGGTGACAGCCAGCGTGAATATGGTAACGGTCCAAGGACTACGGAATCGAGAGCGGCGACTGGCGAAGCGCACATCGGGCATCTTCTCTACGGTCATGGTGGTTTGGTCTTCTCGCCGAGTGTCTACGATGCCGTCGTCGAGACCGTCGCCGTCGTCGATGTCGCTGTCGAAGTACTTGTCGTCGTTCCGGGCAGGTTGTAATTCGTCGGCGACGCTTCGGGAGTGGTGGTGGTGTTGGTGGTTCGGCAGCTGGTGCGTCTGGTTTCGGTAGGCTGGCGATGGCGCGGCCAGGGATGGAGCTGAGAGGGGTGACGATGGCGAGGCTGTTATGAGGTTGCTGTCGAGGATCGGATTCGCATTGGGGCCATGTTCGAGCTTCCAATTGGGATTATTTGACCGTCTACTCCGTGCGTATGACGGTTTAGATGCGGCTCCAGCGGTGACAGTAACGGCAGCGGGTTGCTTAGAAAGATGTGCAGAATTGCGACTTCGGGCGGGCTGCTGAATAACAGGAGGATCGGCAAGAGGTTCGTCGCTGTCGTCGGTCGAACCCGACGAGCGCCTCTTCATGGGTGGAGAGGGCTCGATCGAGTCTTCCAAGAAAGGAAGCGTGTCGTTCAATCGAGCCGTGGAGGGACTTTGTGTTTTCCTGGCCAGGTGAGAAGGCGGCAAGGTGGAGGAAAACGAGAGTATGGACGACAGCGACGTCTCGAGGAAGACAGACGTGCGGGAGGCTGTGGTGGCAGCAGGAAGAGACGACGGGAAAGAACTGGTCCTGGGAAAGAACGTGCCCTCTGCGGCATGCCTGCCTTTCCTTGGGCGTGAACCGCTGTTGTCGGGTCCGGGTCTCGAAGGTACTACCTTAGTGGGTGCTAAAGGTACCTACAGGTACTGGAATTTGGGAGGTTCCTCCACTGTCGGTGCGTCTGTCACTGAGGTGCCGCTGGTGTGCTGCTGCTACAACACGGCGGTCCCGGCCCACGGAATCGAGTCGAGTCCCGCGTCCGTCTCCCGTTCCGTTACTGCTGACCTATCAGACAATGGAAGGAGAGATAAGATACCCACGACATGGACATGTGCCGAAGTACATTTCCCAATGGAAGTAAGGTACCTGAAGATGAGATACAGTACCTATTTATTTTACCTCCTTACCTAGTAGGTAGGAACTTGGTGGGAGATGCGCAAAGCATCCGAATGGACGAGTCTATAGTAATGCTATTTAAACATACATATTGATGACGACCGTGGCTGGAAAAAATACCTACTGTGACCCGGGCAGCATCTTGGTCACTCGTGAAGCATGCAGCCAAGCTAATCTTGGGAACAAAAAGATAAGGTGCGGTGGCCGGAGTTGGTGAGACTGCTGCAGACTCACTACCTATTTCTTGCAGCTGATGATGCACCCACCAAGCCGCGTGGAGCGCTGTTCTGCCCGTGCCTACGTATTCGTAGCCTTTAGGTACCTCGAATGTCTGTATCCACGTGCCTTGCCATAGGTACTTCCCAGCGCATACACAAGTGGGCGAAATTCCGTGTAGCATTTTGACCCTTTTTCACCCCCTTTGGCTCATCTCGCGCTTCGTCCGTCCGCGTCGCAACGTGGAATTGGACGATCCACATGCAATTGGGTTTTCAATGTCTCAGCCCCGTCGCCTCCTTTCTCTGCTCCTTTGTGAGCCCCTTCTTGCTCTTTGAAGAAGACACGAACTGACATTTGGAGTCTAGCAGTAGAGTCTAGGTAGGAAGACACATGGCAATTGGCACTCATGAAACCTGCTACCACTTGGTTGATCGATTTGTGTTCAAACATCCATGTGCCATAGAAAAAGGTAGAGGGAGGCGGGACTGGACCGATGAGTGACAAAGGCTAATTAACGCTACAGAAACAAGACAAGAAATGGCTCTCGCGGCAAGCTGTGTGGTCCTCGATCCCCGAAGCGCCCGGCTCGACTCATGTTGTGCTTCAATAGCGTCAATTACTGCCACCACATTCGCCGAGCCAGCAGATAAAACTAGTTAGATACTCCCGCCTACCCTGCCAGCCTGCTTCACCTTGGCTGACCTTGAGCTCGCTCACCTCAGAGGCCCTCGTTGGTTTCCCGGGCTTCGGCACGCTTTACTTTCTAAGCTCTACTTCCAGCCACCCAGCCTTCCGTCTATCCCGCCCTTCCGCCATATTTCTCCATCATCCGTACCAGTGCCTTTGGAAGAAAGAATTTCTCTTCATTGGCCCCTTACTTCGTAGGCCTAATTTCTCGAGCTGGCTAGGTATCCCTGACCTCCCATGGTTTCTTGAATATGACGTGAAACGTTTTCACGTTGTTTCTCCAGCAAATGCAAACGAGACGCTCGGGTTGGTTGGTTATAATTCCTCCTTCCTGGTATGTCTAAGGCAGCACCCCGCATAAACTCAACTGCTATATCTTCAACTCTGAGCTTGCCCATCATTCGCGTTTCGCGTTGGCTCGTTCTTCGTCACCGTTGGCTACCTCTTGATACGTGGTGCGACTGGATTCTCCCGACCTTGCCGGCATTACTTGCTGCTTAATATCCGTACCCAGAAGCGAATACTCCCCCAAAGGATGACAAAGATCGAGATGTTTAATCTCCCCAACAACATCCATCCCAGTAATCTCAATCGAAGCACTAGCGCCTGCTTTCTGCAGCTTACCATGCTGCGCTCCTACGCAAGCTGCCTGCTTCGGTCGAATCGATACTAATACCGAAGTTGGCAGCGAGTAACCATTCCACGGTAGGACGGAGTAGCGAATCCAAGATGGTTGTTGCCCAGCTTTGTCAAACGGTCCCGCACAGATATTCGGACCTGTTGAGAAACTGAGGCTTCATGTTCTTAACCCGCAACAGCTACAGGACTTGGCAAAAAAAAAAAAAAAAAAAGGCAAGATCGACAGATGTATTCTCATCCTACCCACAGCTATGTAGGCTGATACCATGGCCTGCTTCTACACGTGGAGTAAGGTAATGTTCAGCGTTGCAGTGCACCCAGTCAGGCCAATGGAACGATTGCATGACGCTTCAGCGTAAATGTGCAATGCTACCCGTAACCCGTTCCTATCTTCCGAGATGTCAGCCTTTGGCAAATACGATCTCTAAGGATGATTAGGTACTCGAATTCCTTACCACGAATGCAAACACCGACATGTGTCAAAAACAAGGTTATCCCCATCAGAGGCACATCCAAGTCCACCTGGTTGTCCGCACGCATGGGGATCTGCTTTTAACGTTCAAGATTTCCTCACACCTAAATGCATGCAGCGGATATTGGCCGGTGCTCTGCTCCCCCACCCGTACCGGGGAGTTGGTTCTAGCCATTCACGATTCCCTGATGACACATCATTTCGAAGAAACAAAACATCATTAAAGGGCCAAGTCTTGGCAAACACGTCAGGGTGGGAGGGCGTCAGGGACGTATTTGTAGCGCGCAGTGAAGGTCGTGGGAGCACGGGAAAACTTGGACTTGAAGCCTACGGGAATCAGGAAAGCATAGATTAGCGGGGTGACGCATAGCCCCATCCCGCGCTCCAGTATTCACATCTCCGTCAATTCAAGCCTTTCGATTTAATTTCATTTGTTTCGCAACCACGGCACCCTATTACGAACGTGGAGTCCTTGGGGTCCATAGCATGGCGTACCGTATTAGGGCCGACATTGCCAACATGCAAAGAGCAAGTAGTATACGTACGGTTACCCGCATCCATGTACCTCGATGGCTTGCCAAGTTGCCATAGCTGGGTACGGATAAATCTTCGTTCGACTACCCGTATCTTTTAACTAAAGTAATCAGGGAATGGGACCTCCGCTATCTGAAATCTAGTGTTAGGTACAATAGCGTATCTGAATAATACCAGACCTCAATTACCTTGAACATCAAAGACAGGTCTGAGGTGGGAAAAGCCTGACGGCTATATCTCGGGTTGCCACGCGCTGAAGACCTCCGGAGGTAAGGTACCACGGTCAGGTACCGACTGAAGGTGCCTGTGGTGTGCGTGTGCGTCCACTTTACGCGTCTGAGCACGGTCAACGCGTGTACCCTTCCACCTAGGCAGAGATTCCTAGCCACTTCACGACGCCTGCCAATGGATGTAATGTGAAAGTGTCGTTGCATATACATCAAGCGACGACCAAACCCCTTGTCAAGGAGTCATGTGAGAGTAAGCAGAAGATAACGATACAGATTTCATCGGGTCACGTATCAAACCTCAACTGTACGAGAAATCATGGCCACGATCAAGCCCATCGAGGGCCGCACAGTGAACTTCCCGCAAACCATCATCCACATCTTGTACTAACACCATCGCAGATTCACCAAATTCAGTCTGGTCAGGTCATTGTTGATCTATGCTCCGTCGTAAAGGAGCTCGTAGAAAATAGCATCGATGCCGGTGCTACAAGCATAGGTATGCGAATCCGGGGAATAATCTTTTCTACTTGATTTGTGGCGAGATCCATAGCTGACATGTGCACCCAGATGTACGCTTCAAGAACCAGGGCCTGGATTCTATAGAGGTCCAGGACAATGGCGAAGGTATTTCAGCAGACAACTACGAGACAATTGCCTTGAAGCACTACACTTCGAAGCTTGCAACCTACTCCGATCTGGCAACCCTCCAGACCTTTGGTTTCCGCGGCGAAGCCTTGTCATCGTTATGTGCCTTGTCTCAATTCAGCATTGTCACCTGCATGGCACAGGATGTTCCTAAAGGCACTAGACTCGAGTTCGAGTCATCAGGGAAGCTCAAGGAAACGCATGTGGTGGCCGCCCAGAAGGGAACCAATGTCATCGTCGGGAACCTGTTTCACAACCTTCCCGTACGCCGCCGCGAGCTCCAACGCAACGTCAAGAGAGAATGGAACAAGGTCATCGCATTGCTGAATCAGTATGCTTGTATCCAGACCGGCGTCAAGTTTTCTGTCTCCCAACAACCTACCAAGGGGAAACGCATAATCCTCTTCTCTACAAAGGGCAACCCCACTACGCGAGAGAATCTGGTCAACATCTTCGGCGCCAAGACGATGACGGTCCTGGTGAAACTCGATCTTTCCCTCCAATTCGAGCCTACCACTAAGCCGGGCTTGAAAGCTACTAGTCGAGACGATAAAACTTCGACCAAGGTCCAGGTCCAGGGTTACGTGAGTCGCCCTGCACACGGAGAGGGCCGTCAGACCCCTGATCGACAAATGTTCTTCGTCAATGGCAGACCATGCGGCCTCCCTCAGTTTGCCAAGGTCTTCAATGAGGTTTACAGGGCTTATAATTCCTCCCAGTCGCCCTTCATATTGGCGGATATTCAGCTCGATACGCACCTATACGATGTCAACGTCAGTCCAGATAAGCGCACAATCATGCTTCATGACCAGAATCGCATGCTGGAGACTATGAAGGAGGCATTGTCCTCCCTCTTCGATTCCCAAGACTACTCCATCCCGTCCGCACAGCATTCAACACAAATGGCACAGGTGGCGAAAGCGGCTCCCATTCTTGAAGGCGACGGTTCCGACGATGGTGGCGCGCCTTCGAAAGAGACAGAGGCCGCCCCGACGAAGCAGACGGCTTCAAGTGACGACGATGAGCTCAGCTCCGAGGATGATGACGAACAACTACACTCACGAACCAAGCCGCCACGCAAGCCCCGTCAGAAAAAGCCACAAAAGCTCACAACAGCAGAGCTACAGTCTCAGAGCTTACTCAGCCGGTGGGTTGGACGAGCAGCCGACAGCCGTGCCTTGCAACAGGAAAGGGAGATAGGGTCCGAAGAGCCTGTCGCCGAAGACAGTGGTGAGAAGGCTACGACCACTCATCCTCACTCTGGTGCGTCTGAATCGGAGGATGAGGTGGCCGCGGACGCTGCCGAGAGCACTTCGTTCAAGACGCCGCAACAGGTCCTCGGCTTCAACGCTCGGCTTACAAACAATGGTCAACACCAGATAACAGACGCTTCACGGGGGAGTGTCTCACAGACTTCTGACGATGGCGCCGGAAGCAAACAGGCCCAGATTCCTGCTATGACACCGATGAGAACACCAAGAGTTGACCCTCTTGCGTCTTCATCAACTTCACGGCTACCTAAGCGGTCAGCTCTAGAAGTTGCTACAGTGTCTATTGGAGACAGCACGGTTACCAGCTCGGTTGAGCCGACTCCAAAGAGAACAAGACTTGAGCCAGTCTCGGCATCAAGGTCTACCGCGGCGTCAACCTCCTTTGGCTCAAGGTTGACTCAGATGTTCTCTGCGAGCAACTCAGCGAGGCAGAAGAGGATCGCCAGGGCGAGCACTGATCTATCGGAAAACCCTAGCGAAGGTGCAGATGTAGAGTCAGATGAGGGCAGGGAGAGCGATGGCAGCTCGGAGAAGGAGATACCTTCAGATGAGGCCATGGCTGGCCAAGATGATGGCTTCGAATCTGCTTCCGATAGACCCGAAGGGCAATCAAGTCCAACACCCAGACCCGATGCAGACATGCCGCGTCGCAGTAAGACCCCGGCACCGGTCACAACGAGCGACGAGAGTCTAAAGGATGAAGCAGCGGCACCCACAATGCTCGCAGAAACTCGGTCGAATGCCCTCAAAGGGGGCACCAGGCGAAAAGACGCAACTTTACAGCAGAGGCAGAATGTCAAGATTGACGCGACCGACTTACAGTCTCGCATCGATTCTTGGCAGGCAGAGCTAGGGCGCATCACCCACCAGCGAGGCCGACAATCCAAGACCTCCTCCGGCATCGAGGCCCTCAAGGCCGAGGACGCGGAAGCAGCTCTCTCCTTGATTATCTCAAAGTCGGATTTCGCAAAGATGACCATTGTCGGCCAGTTCAATCTCGGCTTCATCATCGCCGTCCGACATGGGGCCAGGGATCAAGACGGGGACGCGGTCGGGGACGACGAGCTCTTCATCATAGACCAACATGCGTCGGACGAAAAGTACAACTTTGAGAGGTTGCAGTCGACAACGGTCGTCCAATCTCAGAGACTGGTCCACCCGAAACAGCTAGAACTCACAGCCCTGGAGGAAGAAATCGTCATGGAAAACGTGCCGGCATTGGACGTCAACGGCTTCAAGGTCAGCGTCGACAGTTCGGGCGATCAGCCCGTGGGAACGAGGTGTAAGCTCCTCGCCCTGCCCCTCAGCCGCGAGACGACCTTCACATTGTCCGATCTCGAGGAGCTCATCTCCCTGCTTAGCGACCACCACCTCACCGAGGTCAGCTCTGCGCCTCGGCCGTCTAAAGTGCGGTCCATGTTCGCCATGAGAGCGTGTCGCAGCAGCGTCATGATTGGCAAGGCTTTGGCGCAAAGGCAGATGGAGAAGCTGGTGCGTCACATGGGCGAGTTGGATAAGCCGTGGAATTGTCCGCATGGGCGGCCGACGATGAGACATCTGAGCGGACTTGGTGCCTGGGACGACATGGGGTGGAAGGAGACAGAGCCTCGGGTCGACTGGGCCAAGTATGCTCGAGCATAGCTATGGAGTTGATGGTATGGTGCCTTGGTGATATACTGATTCTGTATCATTCACGGTGTTCAATGCTTTGTCAAACATATTCGCGAGAGGAGCAATTGAATATCTCAAATGTCAAAGGTGACTTTTGTTATTTGTATTGGTATCACAGCGTAGTTGCCTTCTCTTCGTTACTAGTACTTTACATCCAATGAAGCTGTTCATGTCCCTCCTAATCTTTTTTCGACGGAACGTTGTGAAATTCACCCGTGTTCTCATATCAAACTCCCAAAACAATTACACCACTCGCTGTTCGCAGAAACCTCCTCATCACCGCGCCACGCCGTAGTGCTGAATGTTCTTCGACCCTGCGAGACCTTCCTCAGCAACCTTGCCACTTACGTTACGCCTTCCATAAGCCGACGAGTACTTGTTGTCTTTGAAGTCGTTGCCGGACGACACTTGGCGATTGCCGCCGATCATAACCGGGGGAGTTGCCGACTTCAACTCGCCATATGGCTTAGAGTAGAAATCAGCCTCGGGTTGGATCGAGCTGTCGCGGTTGCGCGGCCAGGCTTGAGGCACGAGCGATGAAGGTCTTTGGTCGGCAATGTCGTTGGTACCGCTGACCCTACGAGAGTTGAGGTCTACTTCCGACAATGCCGTGTCCTTGAGCGAGTAGTATGGAGTCTTGGTCTTTGGGGGCGTCGGGTGGGACTTCAATGGATTCGGGTGAGGGCTTTGGCCGATATCATTCTCAAAATCACTGCCGGCAAGATCGTTCTCGTCGTGCTCTGAATCGGAATCGGCGACGTTGTATCGTTGAGACACAGCTTCGTACGTACTATTTCTCTGACCTTGCCTCTGCGAGTTCGCGGCTGTTGTGGCTTGGTCCATGGCGCGGTTTCGCTTCTGAGTGCGGGAGATCATCGAGTCAGTCGCAAACCACGTCTCGGTGAATTTACCTCCGGGGACTGGGACTGCGGAAGAGAGAGAAGTTCTAGATCCTGCAATGTTGGTCTCGTGGAGCGGTACCTCGGTGTAAGACCCGCGGTATGAGGATCGAGGCCCAGACGTGCGAGCGTACTCGCTGACGCCTGCCGTCTGGTTCTGTGGATTTCCTGGAGGAACCTGATACTGGCGGCTGGGAAGATCAACATAGGAATTGCGAGTGTAGCTGGAAACGTCTGAGCCGGCGCGGGTCCGTTGGAAAGGGATGCTAGGTGGTCGAGATACATCCTCATATGGGGCACCTGACCGACGACGGTCCTCGAGGGGCGTGGACATTCTCTTTTCGCTATCTCCGCTCATCGAGGTAGCAACACTGGACTTGTTTCTCTTGTGTTTGGCTCGGGAGGTGAGGTTGTCCTCCAAGGGGTTCATGTCGGGGGGCATTTCGGTAATCCTGCGGAACATGACACCAAGCCATATTGAGATGCCGAGAGAGATCAAGTGCAAACCCCCAGCACCGATGAAGGTATAGAAGACGGATGGGAGGAAATAATCCATCAGGCTTTGGTCGGAAAGGCGCGTCTTCCAGGTACCACCGCTATTGTTGACAGTGAGAGCACCGTAGGCGTAAAGGGGCATAACTCCAAGATCCGAGATACTGGCGAAAAGCTGATAGGCGGTAGACGAAGCAGGACTGCGGTCTCCGGCGGGTCGCTGTAAGTGGTATATGCCGTAAAGACAGTGCACCATGGCTACACCAGGCTATAAGAACATCAGTGAGCTTCGCATACGTCAAGTTTGGGAACAGGCAGCGGACGAACCGTAATACGCATGACCCAGCCGGCCAACGTCTCGATATTGTCTAGCAGGATGAGCAGGGCGAGCAGTCCGGCAGCACCGATCAACTCCAGGACCCTCAAGCACAGCTGGACGATGCGCATCGCCTTGATCCAACTCTTCGTTCTCGGGCCTAGGGCAACATAGTTGTTGGATCGATGGTTGAGGACCAGGTGAGCACTACAACAGAATTGGCAGTCAGTTTAACTCTTCTACTCCTAGGTGATATGGACAGTCCTCCCTGTAGGCTCTAGACCGAGCATACTTACTCGGGGTGGCGGTTGAAGGTAACCAAAGGGCCATCGGGCTTCGGCTTGCGCGGCTGGGGCTCCCAGCTTGCGCGGGTCACTGCCTTTGGATCGAACTTTGGCTCTGGAAAACGAGAATTGTTGCTGACGACATTATAGAGGTAAGGTTGGTGAGCCATGGTTGCGACACGGCGTTGGTCTTGTCCTTGCTGTGTCCTCTGAGAAAAGGAGGAGAGGAATGCGCGCGACAAGACTTTAACAGAGGTTAGACGGCTGGAATGCCGCCAACTTGAAGAGTATCCGGTGGTTGGAGTGAGGTGTCTGAGGTCTCGCTTTCCTCTGACTTACCACGACATGTGAATGAAAGAGGTGGGGGGTGGGGGAATGTGTGGTGAAGTGGAGGGCGAAGAAGGATGGTTAAGAACAAGCCAGGGACTAAATTCAGAAAGGCCAAACCCGAGGTGAGATGAGCCAAGGTGCAGGCAAATCTTGTGTTTGCCCAAGCCTCACAAAGGTTGAAGCCGCATCACTCAAAGGCCCAGTTGTTTTCCAGCCTTCCCGGATCGGTTGGTTTACATTAGGTACATCTTGAGTCTAGTGTTGCAGCGGGCGCGTGGCGGTTGCTATGGCGACTGCTCGTACCTGCAGCAAAGCAGGATGTCTTACGAACTTTGTGTGCACCTCAGCAAGCTCGATTAACCTTGTCACCTCAGGTCCAGGCATGTTTGATTGAAGCCTGCCTCGCCTTGAACACACACTGTACTAGGAAACTGCATATTTATTCATACCTTTGACGATCATTGATCACTCACCTCCAGAGATCTGAATCATGGATCATGGATAGCATAGATATCCACTTTGGTCCCCAAACCCCAACTTCAGAGAGGGTCGAGATGACGTACAGAGCTTGGACCAGGCCTCGATATCAAGCAATAGGTTACTTGTACAGGTACGGACGGATATGGATGATAGTTGTAATCCAAGAGAAGCTGCAACAAAGTATGGGTAGTCTGAGTATAGTAGACACAGTAACAATATGTCAAATACCTACGACTGATATTCGTACTTTTCTTCGTCAACATTGGTAACTTTTGAGGTACTCTGAAATCGATCCCTGCCCTGCCTGGGGCATGCAACAGCTTTATGAAGCGCGGACCGAAGACGGATGTAAAAGTCCTTCCCTCGCCGAACTCTTTACATCGGCACCATGACTAGGCCCGGCTCCGGATCGCGGATGCTGGCTTTAAATCCGAAAGTTTCCACCCCGACGCCTTTTCTCTGACTTGACTCACCTGGGCCTTTGTACCCGGGCTACCTCACATTGGATGTGCCTTCGTTGGATTTTCTCTCTTTATTGACAAGTTTTTTGGAGATTTGTCATTTCTTTGAACACATCATCTGGTACCTGGAGCAAATCAAGTCCGTCAACAATCAAACCAGACCGAGTCCTACTCCCGAGCTACCCTCCACCCGGTCACATGATTCTGCCCCGAAGCCGGGCCCGGCTGCGCCCAGCCTGCAGCCGTCTTCAGATGGAAGTGGGCACCGGCGCTTCCGGTTCGCGCCCGTCGAGTACCGCTCACGCTGCAAGACAGGTCCGGCAACCAGACGCCCCGTTCCGCCTGGCCGTCGTCGGATCCGGTCCAGCAGGCTTTTACTCCGCCTACCGGGTCATGTCACAGCTTCCAGAGACTACGGTCGACATGTATGAGTCGCTGCCGGTGCCCTTTGGTCTCGTCCGCTTCGGCGTTGCCCCGGATCATCCCGAAGTCAAGGTTCGAAATCCCCGTCCCGTTATCTGCTTCACCAGCGCACACTGCTTATACTGCCTCAGAACTGTCAAGACAAATTCACAGAGGTTGCTGCCTCGCCCAAATTTAACTTCATGGGCAATGTATCCATAGGCGACGTAGGCCGTCACCCTGACAGCTGCAATGTGCCCTTTCCCACCTTATTGCGGAATTACGATGCGGTGTTACTCGCATACGGTGCCGCCAAAGACAGAACCCTAGGCATCCCTGGAGAATCCAACCTCCAAGGCGTTTACTCGGCTCGCCAGTTCGTAGGCTGGTATAACGGGCTCCCCGAGTACGCCGGTTTATCACCAGATCTCACAAAAGCAGACGAGGCCGTAGTTATCGGTCAAGGCAATGTAGCCCTGGATGTTGCTAGAATGCTCCTCGAGGATATCGATGCGTTGCGGAAGACAGATATCACAGAAGCGGCCCTTGCTCAGCTTGCAACGTCTCGCGTTAAGAGGGTTCATGTCGTGGGAAGGCGAGGTCCGATGCAGGTAAGTAGATCGCCCAGTTTCTCATGACCAAACAAAGCAAATGTAATGACCGTTTTGTCTAGGCCGCATTCACCATCAAGGAGGTCAGAGAGTTGATGAAGATTCAAAGTGTTGGTTTTCACCCGGCGGACAGCACTCTCATACCCCCCGATATCAAATCACTTCCCAGAGCAGCAAAACGTTTGATGGAAGTAGTTGCCAAGGGTTCTGCGTCTTGTCTAGAAAATGTCGAGAAGTCATGGTCGCTCGACTTCTGCTTGAATCCCGTCGAATTCCTGGCCAGCCACACTTCCTCCGTGGATGTCGGCAGCACCGTTTTCGAGAGGACGGAACTCTCTCACAAATTTGACCCCGGTGCTCAGGCCCGACTTACAGGGGAAACCGTCACGGTACCCTCGAACTTGGTCTTCCGTTCTATTGGCTACAAGTCCGTCCCCTTGCCCGGGTTCAAAGAGGCTGGTGTAGCCTTCGATGACCGCCGAGGCGTATTGATGAACGATGGACGCGGCAGAGTTGTCGCAGTAGATCAGGAAGAAGCATCGGAAGCGACGCAGTCAGGGGTAACCCCCGGTGTCTACTGTGCCGGTTGGGTTAAGCGAGGACCGACTGGTGTCATTGCCTCGACAATGCAGGATGCCTTTGAGACGGGCGATTCCATTATTCAAGATTGGCTGTCTGGTTTGCATTTCCTATCTGCAGGCAATAAGAAGCCCGCGGCAGGGTGGGATGGCGTTCGCGCAGAAATTGGCGATTCAGCATCCAAGAGAACCAGCTGGGAAGACTGGCAAAGGATTGATGGCGTAGAGAAGGAAAAGGGCCGGGCCGCAGGCAAGGAGAGGGAGAAATTCACATCCACCAAGGCCATGCTTGAGGTTCTGTCATAGAATATGGATGGCACTGTAGTTAAATGTAAAAATACCCCTCTTTGTAAACTATAGAAACATTGCTATTACTGCTTGATCTTCTCAGTCAGCTCTGGCACCTTGTCGAACAAATCTCCTACAAGTCCAACATCTGCGATTTGAAAAATAGGGGCATCGGCATCCTTATTTATGGCGGCAATGACCTTGCTGTCCTTCATGCCAGCCAAGTGCTGGATGGCACCCGAAATGCCAACAGCCAGGTACAACTGGGGCGCAACAACCTTGCCAGTCTGTCCAACTTGCAAGCTGTTGTCAGCATATCCGCTGTCAACAGCGGCTCTGGAGGCGCCAACGGCAGCACCAAGGGAGTCGGCCAGGGGCAGCATGACCTTGTCGAATTCCTCCTTGGACTTGAGGCCTCTGCCGCCCGAGACAACCCTCCCGGCGGTAGCCAGGTCCGGCCTGTCTGACTTGGCGAGGTCCTCTGATACCCACTCAGTAGCAGACTCAGACTTGGGATCAACACCATCCTCCACTGCAGCTGAGCCGCTGGCAACCTCAGCCGCGGGGAAAGCCGTGCCTCGGATGGTTATAACCTTGATCTCGTCGGAAGACTCTACCGTCGCGATGGCATTGCCGGCGTAGATTGGGCGGACAAAGGTGTTCTCACCCTCGATCGAGGTGATATCGGAGATTTGCTGCGAGTCCAGCATGGCGGCAACGCGGGGCATCAAGTTCTTTCCAAAGGCAGTGTGTCCAGCGATGATGTGGGTGTAGCCGCCCTTCTTGATGTTCTCGACCAACAGCGGTGCAAAGTTCTCGGGGAGACCCTGCAAGTAAGAGATTGTCAGTCGCAGAATTCCATCAGCCGTCGAATCTCTCAAAAGGTAGCCTACCTTGTCATACGCGGCATTGTCGACTGCAATGACCTTCTCGACACCTTCAACCTTTGCCGCCTCATCAGCAACACCCTTGATGTTGCTTCCCGCTACAAAGCCGTGGATGGATCCACCCAACTTCTTGGCCGCTGTAATGGCGCTCAGTGAGCCGTGGTTCAATTGACCTTCTCTCTGCTCCAGAATGGCGAGGGTCGACAGCAGACTTCTTCTCGACGCAGATCGGAGCCCCGAGAGTCCCCTGGACGCTGCGACAGCCCCGCTGCCAGCGGCTCTTCGAGCAAGGAACAGCATTTTTGCGACTACAACAAATGCGAAAAGTACCGGCTTTACTAGGGTCAATCAGAGAAACAATTGGCGAAGCTCACCGTGAGCGAGGGCTTGGTGTTGATGTGTGGAATCTCGAGTTGTCAAGGAACGGTTGGACACGGCCCGAGGTTACTAGGCCGAGTTCGCATGAAGCCTTTCTCAGCTGCTAAAGTGCCGTCATCAGAGGTAGTGTAGCGACGCTCTCCGCCAGGGTGGCTTGGGCGGGGGGTGAACATAGCCTCCGCAACCCAGTCGGCTTTATGCTCCGAGCTCTCGGCCTCAGCCTCTCAGAGGTCAGGACACAGAACAAGGGACGTGCACCCAGAGCTTAGTCATGATAACTGCTCAATCTTGGTTTCACGTGATACTTCTGGGAGCACGTGATTAGATGGACCTGGCGTCGCGCTTCAGCTTCCTACAGGCGAGAGAATGCGCAGGGTAAAGGTGCACCTGGACAGGCCCAAGGACAGAGCAGTTCCCCCGGTATCTTCGCGCCAAAATTTCTCCAGATCCAGACGCGACTCCATAACGACCACACCTCATCATCTCCCATCAAGAATCACGCGCTTTTGGAGGGGCACACCCACAGGCTGCATCATCAATCAATCAATTCCAACAGTCGCATGTCATAGGGCGATCCATCCGTGTAATTTGTATTCCATTTTGCGCGTCGCGCCCTTGAGCTTCAGCGCGCCTTGACAAGAGTTTGGATGCCTGCCTCCTCCTAAGATCCATACAGCCACAAGTCATCATGGAGGACCAACCCAATTACGGAATTTCCAACGCCGCCTCTCCTGGCAGCAATCCCATTCTTTCGCAACCACCTTTGCAACCCGCCGCGCCTACCCCGGGAGATGGAGCTGAAGGTGCGTGTCATCGCCGACCCCATTCGCACTGCTTCCACTGGTAAACTTGATGGCATCTAACAAGACTATGTTTCTAGATGTCCAGATGACCGAAGGCCCGGTCGCCGAACCTAGCATCAAGCAGGACAGCGCGACACCTGCGCCAGGTGTCACATCCGACAATCCCCTCGACGCCCCCGATGGCCCTGCGCCCGAGGCTACGCAGGACGAGGAAATGGGCGGTGCTCGTGACGAAACAAAGGATGGCCAAGCAGCAAAGGGCGGCGATGAAGCTGCAGCTGGAAACGATGCGGAGGGGCAAGACTCCAAGACCAAGGAGACACTCGAATCCGCGGCCCGGGAACATCTTATCTCGCAAACGCATGCCATCGTATTGCCGAGCTACAGTACTTGGTTTGACATGAACACAATCAACGACATCGAGCGCAAGGCCATGTCCGAGTTCTTCAACAGCCGCAACCGCAGTAAAACACCGGCTGTCTACAAGGACTACCGTGATTTCATGATCAACACCTACAGATTGAATCCAGTGGAATACCTCACTGTCACGGCCTGCAGAAGGAACTTGGCTGGAGATGTTTGCGCCATCATGCGCGTCCACTCCTTCCTTGAGCAGTGGGGCCTGATCAACTACCAGGTAGGATTCAAAATTGATGCGCTGTCTTGTATGTTGAACTGACTGGATCGATGCAGGTTGACGCAGAGCAACGGCCGTCGCACGTCGGACCCCCTTTCACCGGTCACTTCAAGATCATTTGCGACACTCCTCGTGGTCTCCAGCCGTGGCAGCCATCCGCTGATGCCGTCGTCTCTGCTGGTAAGCCCAGTGCCGATACAGAAAAGAAGGCTGCGGCAACACCGGCTCCTAAGAGCGAGCTCAATTTGGAAGTCAGCCGCAACATCTACGAAGCAAGTGCCAAGGGTTCAAAACTCAACAAGAGCGAACCCAAGACCAATGGCGAAACGCCAGTGACCAACGGTGTTTCGGGCATCGAAGAAGCTACCAAGACGCCCATTGTCAAGGTCAACTGTCACACTTGCGGCATCGACTGCACCAGGCTATACTACCACAGCTCGCAGGCTGACCCGAACTCCAAGACCAAGTACGATGTTTGCCCAAGCTGCTTCCTCGAGGGCCACCTCCCAGGCAACCAGACAAGTGCTCAGTTCACCCGCATGGAAAACCCCACATACACGACCGTCCTCGACAGAGACGCACCATGGAGCGATGCCGAGATCCTTCGTTTGCTTGAAGGCATCGAGAGGATGGATGATGACTGGAATGAGATTGCGGATCATGTGGGTACGCGAACACGCGAAGAGTGCGTCTTGCAATTCTTGTCCTTGGACATCGAGGGCAAGTATGCGGACTCGGACCTTGCCGTGAATGCCCCAACCGGCCTTGCAATGCTCGGCCAGCAGGGCGGCCATCTACCTTTCAGCCAGGCGGATAACCCAGTCATGTCCGTTGTCGGCTTCCTTGCCGGTCTTGCTGACCCTGCCAGTACGGCAGCAGCGGCAAACAAGTCTGCCGAAGAGCTCACGCGCAAGCTTCGCAGGCGACTCGAGGGTGGCAGCTCGGAGGAGGCTGTGACCAATGGCAAGGGCAAGGACAAGGACGGCGACTCAATGGAGATTGACATCCGCCAAGACGTCACAACGACGACTACTACTACAACGACAACGCTGGCCACCATTCCTATGGCTGCAATGGGTGCCCGTGCCGCCGGTTTGGTGTCACACGAGGAGCGCGAGATGACAAGACTAGTATCCGCTGCGGCCAACCTCACTCTGCAGAAGCTGGAGCTGAAGTTGAAGTACTTCAACGAGATGGAAGCCATTTTGCAAGCAGAGAGGAGAGAGCTCGAGAGAGGACGGCAACAGCTGTTCCTGGATCGCCTCGCGTTCAAGCGTCGCGTCCGCGAGGTGCAGGATGGACTCAAGGCGGCAGTTGAGACGGGCGGTGATCAAGGCCTCAAGCAGGCCCAGGATGCGATGTCTGACGGCGCCAACCTCACCTTCCAGGCGGCGCCTGGAGCGGGCGCTGTGCAGCCGCTGAGTAGCGGAGGGCAGATTAAGAGCTTCGAGGCTTGATGCGGCTCATGGCACGGTGTCTCTTCCTCGAAGAAGACGGTTATGAGATGGATCGGGACGAATGTAGCTCTGCGTATGCGCGGAGAACGGGGTCCCTGTATTTTGCAAGGGGTTTGGTTTGGTGATGACCAGGGAACGGCACAAATAATTGTGGTGAATTGAAATAGTCTGGATGATTTTGGGCGTCGGAGGGATTCCTATGGCTCGGCGACGTATTGTCGTTTGTGCAACTGTATTAGATACTTACACTACCCGTTTTCTGCCTGCTTTCGCCCTGCCAATGCCTTGTGATGGCCAGATCTCAAAGGGGCTTTGATGGCAGTGGTTTGATTGAGCCATGTGGTCGCAAAGTGCTTTGCAAGCCCCATAATGAGCAAAGGGGCGTTGACACGTGCTAGTGTGTTGCTCTATAGCTGACATTGATCTCGTGGTGAAGCAGTGCTAGTGGGTTTATAGATTGCCATCTCACATTAGCTTGCTCTCACATGTTGGAAAGATTCATGGTACCCAAGGTTGTCAGATGCTATGACATCCAGTTGCGGAGCTTCCCGAGTTAGACCAACCCAGAGCTGCATAATCAAGCTCAGGCAAGGTGATTTGTATGGCCGCTGAGCAAGCCTCTCCACTGAGGCAAGGCCAGGTAGGTAAGTCCCTCCACGGCGCGGTAGTGATGCTTGGGATGCTGGTCAGCAATTCGTGAAAAAGAGTACCGAGACCGTGGCCGTGGCCGTGACCTAGGCTGGTGTGGCAGACCGCAGACGTCCGGGCTGTGGGGCCGTGCTTCATGGACCGGTGGAGGAAATACACCGGGCTCGTTACCTTCGGTATCGGAAGGAAGGTGCCCCCAACCGTATCTTACCTACGCAAGGAAAGTAAAAGTCATTCGAATGCACCTTCCCGTCGAAATTCGGTCAACTTCCTTTCTCGATGTACTGCGGCATCTTACTGTCTTGCCACAGGTAGCAGATAGCTGCTGGGATGGGATGCCAAGGTGCCCGGGCAAGCGGAAGGGGGGACCTTGATCAGCTCGATCCTCCGATGGTCCAGCCTGGTCTTGTCTGGGGCTATCCTCCTGTCCGTCCCATGGGTGTTCAAACTCAAGGTACATCATGAATTCAACCATCGCTCAGTCGGTCTTGGGAATGAAGTTTATGAAGCACCTCAGACGCTGACAAGTGCCGATGAGATGATTCTGATCGGAGACACCTTTTTGTCTAGAGCAGGACGACACTGGGCTTGGCGGATCGTGAGTGGAAACTTGGGCCGGTTGTCGTTTGAATTCGACCGAACATCCTAGGTAAATCCTACCGAGAGCCTAGGCTCAAGTAGAACCAGAGAGTCGATAATTTTTCGGCCTCCACTAGCAGCGCCTCAGCCGTTTGTGAGGAGGTCAAATTGTCTACAGATAGAGATGGAGACTGGCCGGAGTATTCATACGAATACTGGGGTAAAGATGTACAACTTGTTAGGTACCGTATCGTGCGTATCCACAGATGCGGTCGGCACCGTCATAAGAAAAGTACGGGGTAAAAGCTGCGTGCATGGGGATGATTAGCTCCAAGAGCTAACGTCTATCCACCCCTGTTTTACCTCGGCTCAAAGACCCGATCCACCGCTTCTACACCAAATGACCAAGGCAGTGAAGACACCTTGCCGGCTGCACCGCGATGCGCCGAGGGACAATGAGCCAGTGAGGGAATTTGGACAAGGTGGGCAAGATGGTGACTGGTGTCAATATGGGATCCGGGGTATTTTGCGCGCACGCATCGAGGGCCGAGACTCAATTGCAGTCTGGGTATCCGTCGGTATGCGGTATGCGGTATGCGGTCTGCGGTCTGCAGCGCATAGCGCGCCGCGTGTGCCCTTTTCCCCAATGTCCATCTCCGCCGCTCCTCCGGACGTTCGGGCATCGTGCCCCAAACCTCTAGAATGAGAACTGAGCAAACGGAAGCTAAGGGAGAAAGAGGTCAGAGACCTGATGTCTGAGAGGGTCAAGAATGAATTGTGCCCAATACTCCGGACCACGGTCCCGTCCGGCTTGTCATATTACCACAGGGACATTCCCAGAGAGGCGCCAGAGAGCATGACACTCTCTTTCTCCCTTTCTTGCCTTTTCCTCTTGATACTTCTTGCTTCATCTATCTCGCTCTCGATCGGTTCCCCCGACATAACACTCTCTGTTCAGTGTTTATAGCTTATTTTCTCTTCTGGGTCCTTACGTGCACCCCGCTGGTAGTTCGTACTACCTTGGTTCCACGGCGCTGAACTACCTACCTACACCGGCCCATCCTTCTGCCAGCCACCTTATCGACAAGACGCGATCCCACGCCATCTTTCACGACCCTTGAGTGTCCGGAGAACAGTACAGGCTCACTACCTTACCTTAGGTGTCTTCGTCAACCTCACAAAGCATCCATTCCCGTCACCCGCGCACGCTTCCACTACCTGCCTTACGCCTCTGCACGTTGGTAGCCCGAAGTATTGACAAAATAGCCCACCCCCCACCGCCCCGTTACTGTTGTAGCGACTGGAAGCATCCCAGCTTACAGCGGCTACGGAGTACCTGACGAGAGAACCTGGAACCCCATACCCCAACTGTTCCCCATAGCCGGACCCCGTACCGAACCGCAGCCGCCTCCTCTTGGGGTACCTAACTGAGGTACCTGACAGAGTACACTACACTACTACTACTACTACGACTGCTACTACGTACCGCACAACTCAGCATCTCCCATCAACACGCAAGCCTGGAATCCACACATCCCTGCTGTGGTTGACATTGCTGCTGGTCATAAAGGGATTCCCGCGTGGCACCTACGTTTTGGCTTGTGACAAGCAGCCACTCACTTCCTCGTCTGCCACATTTTCCATTCTGTCAGAGGTGTCTGAGGTATCAGTCAGTCTGTCACTCTGTCCTCGTCCCTCGCTCGCGCCGGCTAGCCTCCGCTCCGGCTCCAAAAACCATTCGACTGAATCGTCTGCCGTCTGCCGCGGATCTTTCTGCGGCTACCTTTTTTCGTGCGTGCCACCACTGCGTCTGCACTGCAACTATTTTAACACCACCCAACCACTCACACACCACACCACACGTTTACCCTTTTCAAGAATTGGTCATGTCGGCCGCATTGCGAGCGTTGGAGGCTAGGTCTGCCACGGCAAGGACTTCTTTGAGACATCTGACCTTTAATCGCCCTCGTCCGGTACGTTTTGTTTGTTGACGCTGTTGCATCTTCCTTCCGCTATCCTCTATCTCTCTCTCTCTGCTCTACTCTGCTCTGCTCTTTGGCCTCGGCTCAACGCCATCATCCTTGATCCCACCCCGCTCCGCTTCTTCGGCTCCATCCATCGCTTTTGGGGAGCTTCTCTCTTCCGTCTCCCACACACTTTCATACAAACACATATCTTGCTGCCGCATGCTCTGTCTTTCACACTTTCTAACCACGTCTCCTTACTCTCCAGATCTTTGCAGCCATGGCTCCCGCAGCAAAGCGGAACAACAGTTCCCTCCCTTCAGGTAAATTGCGACTCCCCAAACGTCCCTCGGCCGCTCACCCTCGCGCCCTGAAAGACCGCGAATGCGCATCGTACGGCGCATTGATGTTGACCCGGCTAACACGATTTACACACAGGATATGTCGAGGACAAGTCCAAGGGTGCCATGTTGAGATTCCAAGACTCTCTGCCCCGTCTACCCGTACCGAGTCTCGAAGAGACAGCCGCGCGCTACATCAAGACCCTGCACCCCCTTCTCTCTGAGTCCGAGTTCGCCGTCAGCAAAAAAGCCGTCGAGGACTTCGTCAAGCCCGGAGGTGTCGGCAGCAAGCTCCAGGAGAAGCTGCTCGCCCGTAGAGAAGATCCCGCGCACCGAAACTGGCTGTACGAGTGGTGGAACGATGCGGCATACCTCAGCTACAGAGATCCCGTCGTTCCCTACGTGAGCTACTTCTACTCTCACCGTGACGACCGTCGGAGGAGGAACCCTGCCAAGAGAGCCGCGGCCATTACCTCGGCTGTCCTCGAGTTCAAGAAGCAGGTCGACGACGGCACACTCGAGCCCGAATACATGAAGAGACTGCCCATCTGCATGGACAGCTACAAGTGGATGTTCAACACGAGCCGTGTCGCCGCAAAGCCCGCCGACTACCCGGCCAAGTTCTCTCACAAGGACCATAAGTACATTATTGCTATCCGCAAAAACCAAATCTTCAAGATTCTGCACGAGGTGGACGGCAAGCAGCTCAATGCGTCAGAACTCGAGCAGCAGTTCAACAAGGTGTACGAGTTGGCTCAGAGAGTCCCCCCCGTGGGCGCTCTGACCAGCGAGAACCGCGACGTTTGGTCAGATGCGCGCGAGATCCTTCTCAAGGCCAGCCCCAAGAACGCCGCCTCTTTGGAGGCCGTTGAAGCATCCTCCTTCGTCGTGTGCCTTGACGACGCTGCTCCCGTCACTCTCGAGGAGCGCGCGCACCAGTACTGGCACGGCGACGGCGCCAACCGCTGGTACGACAAGCCCCTCCAGTTCATCGTCAACGACAACGCTACGTCGGGATTCATGGGAGAGCACTCCATGATGGATGGAACCCCCACTCACCGTCTCAACGACTTCATTAACGACCTCATCTTTAACAACAAGCTCGACCTCTCTGACCCCTCGATTCGTTCCAACCTGCCTGAGCCCCAGATTGTTAAGTTCGAGATCACCAAGGAAGTACAGGCCGAGATTGACCGCGCCAGAAAGGACTTCCACGATGTCATTAGCCAGCACGAGCTCGCCGTCCAGGCGTACCAGGGTTACGGCAAGGGATTGATCAAGAAGTTCAAGTGCTCGCCCGACGCCTACGTTCAGATGATCATTCAATTAGCATACCACAAGATGTACGGCAAGAACCGCCCTACATACGAGTCGGCCGCCACTCGCCGCTTCCAGCAAGGCCGTACCGAAACGTGCAGAACCGTGTCAGACGCCTCCGTCTCATGGTGCAACGCCATGGCCGACCCTAACATTGAGGACAAGGCCAAGGTCGACCTATTCCGCCAGGCCATTGACTCCCACCTCGAGTACATCACTGCCGCCTCAGACGGCAAGGGTGTCGACAGACACTTGTTCGGTCTGAAGAAGCTGCTCGAGCCCGGCCAAGAGCTGCCTGCCATCTACCAGGACCCGGCCTTCTCCTACTCTTCCTCGTGGTACCTGTCCTCATCACAGCTTAGCTCAGAGTACTTCAACGGATACGGGTGGAGTCAGGTCATCGACGGCGGGTTCGGAATTGCCTACATGATCAACGAGAACAGGTACGTGATTATCTTCTGCCGTCCAAGTTAACCCCTCTAGTAACCCGAGCACTAAACTAATCCGTCATATCTGTACAGCATCAACTTCAACGTCGTCTCCAAGGGCTTGGGCAGCCAGCGTATGAGCTTCTTCCTCAACGAGGCTGCCGGCGAGATGCGCGACCTGCTCATCCCCACCATTAAGCCCGCCAAGGCCAAGCTGTAAGCGGTGTTAGAAATCATTTGTAAGAGAGGGCATGAAGGAGGAAATGCCGTTTGCAATACGGGCGAGAGAAGAGAAACTCGACTAGCGTCCCAAGGATGCTCCATCAGTTAGTTGTGAGAGGGTATGTATGTGTGTTCATATGTGGTTACATGTAGATGACCGGTCATTCTTTGCACCGATACAGTAGAAGCGTCTCTGGCAAACCTGATAGACGTGACCGGTGGTGTCGGCACCACCGCGATCATATTGAAAATTTCCCCCTTCGTAGTCTTTCTCATTTCTCTGGGCCTATGTACACTACAAATCCACGTTGCTCGGGTCGCAAAATCGAACAATTTATCTCGACAACTTCCCATTCCCTCCTACTTCAAACGTACGCGCATGGGGAAAGTAAGGTAAGATGTGTGAATGTAACATGGTTTGAATAGATGAGTCAAAACCGAAGAGTTCCAAAATGAAGCAGGCTATGTATGAGGTGGAGAACAAAATGTGCCGCCGCCATATTAACTCCTACAATTCGACCCGCCTCTGCCCCTACCCAATCCAATCCCCTTCCTAATTTATGGCTGACGCTTCCATCTTAACCTGAGTGAGAGACAATCTCATTGACGAGTTCGCCCTTGGTCTCATCATAGTAGGAGCAAATCTGCGATGGAAGCGGCACTTCCACGTAGTCCTCGTCCTCTCCCGAGATGATGTTGAGGTTAATGCCGGAAGACTTGCTCGAGAAGATCTTGGTGTCCGTGCTCTCCTTGCTGAAGTAGACTTGGGCGCCATCAATCGAGTCCATCAAAACGGCAGGCACGGCTCCCATAACCTGCAAAGCGAAGTTCTGGGACTTGATAACGTCCACAGTTGAGATGAGAGACTCAACGATCAACGACAGACGAGTCGAGTTCTCGATGGTAACAGCGTTTGCCTTGCCCTTCACAATAATGGTAGTGTTGCTGCACTTGCTGATCAGAATGGAGTGCGAGTTGGATGCCTCAATTTCAATAGGCTGAGGCTCCTTCTCGAAGTTTTCCTGGAAACGATATCAGAGTTAGTCACCTTTGAAATCATCCAAAGCACAATTGTAGGGGGTTTCATACGATAGTCCACTTGTTGCCCTCAAGCACCTTCTTTGGCGGCTTCTTGACGCGCATGCTCTCTGGCTTAGGCTTCTTGCCAGGAGCCGGGCTCTTGCCGCGTGCTGATGCCTCCCCGTCAACCTTCGAGGTTGTACGAAGGGACGGGTTCTTGTGCGTCATTTCCGATCTGTCAACCTTGCGAAGACCCTTCGTCACAGCCTCGCCTTTGTTGAGTTCGGAGAACACGGCACCCAACCCACCCTTGCCACCGGGGGTTTCTTCCTTGATATCCAGTACAGGAGGAGGGCCGGGAGGCGGGGGCGGGGGCGGAAGACCACCCGCCGGTGGTGGCGGAGGAGGAGGAGCGGCGGCGGAAGCTGCAGATGCGGACAATGATTTAGCGACTTCCTGAGCTGGCTGACCCTTCGGGTTCCAGGGGATGCCGCTAGCGAAATTCTGCTTGACATAGTCTGCAAGGTCACGGAAGACTTGGTAAAAGGCATTCACCCAGTCGGTTTGTTGCGCATCCCTACGCAATATCGCATTAGCCAGGGGGCTTCAAACGGCTCCTCAGATCGTTTGCGCAGACATACTTATCCTTTTGTTCCTTCAGCACCCTGTTACCAAAAAATTGGGCAGAGCCCAACGAATCTTCGACATGCTTGTAAGGACGGTTGTCGACAGTGACCCAGGCGAGAACCATGATGCCCTCAGCAACAGCGCTCAGTTGGGTGAAGACTGGCGATCCTCGGTTGGACTCTTTGATGTTGTTGACAGCTACAAGGGCTTCGTTGATGGGCTTGAGAAGGTCCTGGTATACAGCCATTTCTGCGCCATTAAGATCAGGCTTCTTAGCCTTCGTCGTGATGAGCAGGAAGTTGCGCTGGGCTTGGAAACCCTGCAGAACTTTGGCAGCCTACGGAGACCCTTGTCAACACCCAAAGAACGGTCAATTCGCAAATGTGTTTAGATGACTGACCTGGTCAGCAACAAGGCCTCCTAGTTGCTGACTGGTTTTGACATATTTCTCGACCGATGTGGCAATAAATTGATCGAACTCCTCAATGGACTCAGGGACTGGCTCCGGGGGAGCTTGGGGAGCGGCGGGGGCTTGCGGCGGCGGGGGAGGGGCCGAGGCATTGGAGGCGTCAGGCGGCGAGGCGACCGATTGATTGAGAGCGGGAACTGCTTGGGGAAGCTCGATGGTAGAGGTGGCGATATCTTCGAGTCTAGCTGTGGCAGCTTCGAGCCTTGTTTCGAGGTTAGCTGCGAGTGCGCTGGCAGTGGGCCAAGAATAGGAGCAAAAGCGAGGTAACGCCCGTCCGTCAATGTTGCCGTAAAGTTGGATGCAAAACAGTCCAGGCTGGTAGGAAATCCATCGACGTACCGCTTGATGAGAGTGGTGAGGTTGTGCATGTTGTTCGTTGCCATGTTGGGCAGAGGAGAGGAGCCGAAGCTTGTTGCAAGGAGAAGGTCGACAGGAGAGGTTATAGGACGGCGGCGATGGGCCGGGGGTAAGCACTGACGGACAGAGACGGTGTGACGAAGGGCGTCAGAGGACGGAGATCGATAGCGGAAGACGGGGTGGATATGCAATGTCAAGAACAATAACGACGATGACAGCGAGGGCAAGAGCAGGGTCGGCTGCTGCAACACGAAGTGAGCTCAATGCAACCGAGGCCTCGTGCAGGATGTCTGTCCAAACAGTTCAACCCAGCAAAGCAACTATTGCAAGGTTGATTGGGGCAGAGCCAAAAGATTGGGCGTGAAGTTTCAGCTAGTGCGGAGCTGCTGGGATGGGTGAAATGCACCTGGCAAAGAGCAATGGGTCGGCTGCCGCTGAAGATGTTGTAAATGAGCAGAGAGCTACGAGGTTGGCGGACGAGGTGTTTTGAATGGGTATTATCGCAAGCATCCAATGTCATGCCAGACAATGGGAGTGGACAGACGCGGCAGTACGTATCTTTGCGCTGGAGACACAGTACCTCTTGAGGAAGCTCTGCTGCTCAGGTACCTAATCGTGCTTGAGGTCCCCGGACAAGTACCTGAGGTATTCCCTGCCCACGCTACCGCGCCATCCAAGATGATGGGTGCCTTGTGCTTTTTGGATGCCTTGGAGTCTCTTGCCTTAGGCACAACCTACCTCTGCTCAGGCACTCGGCCTAGCAGCTCATCTACCTACCTACCTTACCTCATGTATCTGTTGAACTTGGCTACCTAAGCTTGCGTAAGACATCTCACAGAGCAACCTCTATTTCGAAAGATATCTCACCGTCTGAAGCAAGATTAGGTATCTGCTGAAGCCTAAGGTCAATGCTTCATCTCCTGCGTATGAGATTTCCTACCATTCATCTGCTCGGTTTCGCTGACTGTGTGCAATCTACAATTGCATACGATAAGATGACGGTGGTCAGCATGCCAGACAACTTCGAGAAGGTTGAGTAGATCAAATGCAGCTTGCCCAGCTAGTGTACTCCGGCTCACGTATACTCTGTAGGCAGTTGCCAAAACCAACACTTGGTTCATCAATACGATGCCAGAAGCGGCTGATGATATGGCGATAGTCGAGCAAAGTTGTTCAGCGACAAAAAAAAGTGTCAGCTGAGGCTAGAGTATGGACGGCTTTCAATGTGGTCACGAGCTAAGGCAGCTACGTATGTGACGCTGGAGGCGAGGTCCACTGAGCAATATGCAATCCCTTCGAGTACTCATCTCGTCTCATCTCAACCTCGAAACTTCACCTACAATGAATTTGGACCGACTAGCTAACCTCTTAAAACACGGACACCCCTTGTCGCCTTGTACCTCTTGTCCTTCTCTAGTTTCGATTTGCAATGCTGTTTAGCTGTCAGTCACGCCATCCGTGTCCCTCAACCCGCCGAGAACGGAGTCCAGACCCATAAGGAGCTGCCCCTCTCGGCTCGAGTGAGTTGAGCGAGGTCAGATAAGCTTCTAGAAGCTCCCTCCTTCTACCACAGACAACCCTGCCACGTGCCGGCCCAACGTATGGTTGTGTGCTACCTTATCTGTAAGATTTCACATGGAATCATTTCAGGTACCATATATCCACGGACGGCGGCGGCGTCTAGTGCATGGATAAAAGATGGTATAGGTATGATTAAGATAGTGGGGTAAATTTGAAGATGTAAAACGACGGTAGAAATACAGCTGGCTGGAGCGAGCCTCAAAATCAACACTAAACCATTGAACAGCGGCGCTATGAGGCTCGCTCCAGCCAGCTGTATTTCTACCGTCGTTTTATATCTTCAATTTGCCCGTCGGCCAGAAATCCGGGCCTGTTTCTCAACCTAACCTATATCACCTGCAACATCTCATAGAGGAGGTGCCTTCTCACCTCACCTCATCTAGCAAGGCACATATCAGCCTGTCAGAGCCCCCTCGCTTCGTCCGTGCTTGCATTGTGCATTCTCGCCGACACTGATGCGGCCAATAACCCATAGCACACAACAAAGTGGGTGTAACCTAGTTTCAAAAGCCCTTCACTTCGCAAATTCGCACTCAAAATCACCCGTTCTACTACGACTTTTCGGCTGGCTCCTAAGATACCAGTCAATCGTCTAATTCTCACTTCCTCACAATAGTGGCCATTACCGCGTAGCACGGCACCTTGGCCAACAACATTCATATCTCATTTGATTCGGGTTGGGTCTTCACGCCACTCATTACCTAGCTACTATCGATCCGTCTTTCCAAGAGTCGATTCCATTGTGAAGCTTTGACCATGGCCGACGACGACTCACAATCGCCGAAAGAGCAGCGTCTTACTGACGAAGAATTCAAGGCGTTGCCTGCCATCGACTTTGTGACGTTGGGAATGTTCATTATAGGTGAGTCGAAAACCCCCTCTCCGCGGATGCCTCGTCTCCATGAATCCTTCGCTGACGGTGACTAGACGAGATACACTTCTTGCCACCCACGCCGCCCGTCTTTGATATTCTTGGAGGTGCCGGCTCATACGGTGCCCTCGGAGCCCGTCTCTTCTCGCCGGCCCCGGATGCCTCTTCAGTCGGCTGGATCGTCGACAAGGGTTCCGACTTTCCACAATCCTTGACCGACCTCATTGGCAGCTGGGAAACGTCAGTCGTTTTCCGCGAGGACCTAGAGCGTCTGACCACCCGCGGATGGAATGGGTACGAGAACGCAGAGAAGCGCGCCTTCAAGTACACCACCACCAAGAAGCGCCTCACTGCAGGGGACCTCACGCCTCATCTGCTACTATCCAAGACCTTTCACCTAATCTGCTCCCCGGCCAGATGTAGAGACCTGGTGTCCGAAATCACCTCAGCCCGCAAGCGTGTGTGCCCGCCTGATTCATACACAAAACCAATATTCATCTGGGAACCCGTACCTGACCTGTGTACACCCGATGAACTTCTCAACTGTACAAATTGCCTGCCCCTGATCGACATCCTCAGTCCGAACCACTCGGAGCTGGCAGGTTTCATGGGCGACGACGGCCTTGACCCAGCCACTGGGGGGATTTCGAAAGCGGCAGTCGAGAGATCCTGCGAGCAACTTCTCGCAAGTATGCCTTTGTCATCATTCACGCTCGTCATCCGCGCCGGAGACAAGGGCTGCTACGTTGCTCGAAACGGTGGCCGCAAGCGACATCCAGCTACTGGCGATGGAGCAGGTCCGAAGCGTCGCAAGAAGGATTATACGAGGGGCGGCCTTCAGCCGGACACCGACATGGAAGCACTCTTCGCCGGTCTGCTTCAGGATGACGAAGGTGCTGTTGTTCGCGAGGAAATCGAGGTTGATTCTGGTACCGAACAGTGGATTCCAGCCGTTCACCAAGACAGCGCCAAAGTGATAGATCCTACAGGAGGTGGCAACACCTTTCTGGGCGGCCTCGCTGTTGCCCTTGCAAGGGGCAAGAGCGTAGAGGAAGCTGCAGCATGGGGCAGTGTGGCCGCCAGCTTTGCCATTGAGCAAGTTGGCGTACCAACTTTGGCCAAAAACGAGGAGGGCCAGGAGACATGGAATGGTGAAAGGGTAGAGGACCGGCTTGCTGAATTCCGAGCCCGTATACAAAAGACACAGTAGAGTCCACAACAAATGCTTCATCCGTGATCATACGTCTAGAAAGAGGTAGACAAATAAGAGCAAAAGTTAATGCAAAGTTTGACCCGTTGGATCTGACACCTTACAGACCACTGCGCAAAAATCATGGTAGTCGAGTCTCTATTCGTTACGTAACATGGCAATGTCTCTCAGGGACGCCGCCTTCCTCTCATAATACCAACGCCAGATATCATACCGCAAACAATCCCACATCAAGACATCCGGCCTTAAATCTTGTACACAAGCTCTCCATCAGTGTACCTGTCTCTCGGTTAGCCACATAAGAATAGAAGATGAGAGATCAAGCGGGGGAACTTACATAATCTGGTTGGCTTCATCCATCTTCTTGAGAGCTTTGACGGCCTCTTCCTTGCTGAAGGCACTGCCGCTACGCGACTGCAACTTAGTGTTGACGGCTTCAAGAACAGCATTGACATTGGCAGAATCGTCGTCGAACAAGGCCGAGTTGAGTAGCTGGCCAAGAGCGCTTCTGAACACAGTCAATCGCTGAGGACTGATGGGTTCGTCAGCAATGGCGAGGCCAGCTGCTCCCGATGCCAGCTCGTCATCATCCTCACCGTTGTCTTGTAACTGGGAAGGCAGTTGAGAAGCAGGCAGGGATGAAGCAAATGATGTTTGCGTGTGCGTTGCCGCACTTGAAGAAGCCGCGCCATCACCGCGACGACGGGACCTCCGTGGCGTCGCCTCGTAGATATCCTCCTCTGCTTCCTCCACTGCATCAGGCTCGGCAGGCGTCTCCGCGTCGCTTTCAGGGGCATCTTCGTTGGCACTGCTAGCACCCGCGGTCCGCCGAGGCCGGGCCACGCCTCGCGTCGATCGCGAGGACCTCGGGACGGGCGTCCGTGTTGTCGTCTTCTTGAAGGTTGCATCATCGTCGTCATCAGACGAGCTTTCATCGCTTGATGAAGCAAATTCGGTGGTCTGAGTTTTCCTGCGCTTCTTTCTCGACTCGTCCTCGACCACCTCCTTGAACAGGGCAAAACGGAGGATTGCCTCGGCCGCAAGTGCATCGCGCTCGTCTACTCGGTTTGAGAGTCGGGACTTGGCGTGGGCGGTAGCCAAACGAATAAGAGTTTCCAAAGTACGGACGGTCAGAGGGCTGGTTCTGCGCTGGTTACCCTCCATCTCATCGTTTCTGAGGCCAACATAAATGTCAGAGATGCGATCTGACGCGGCCTGAGTCAAGACAGGCCGAATTCTGGTCTTGGCATATTGAATGTATTTCTTCATAAAAGGAATGCTGAGCACCTCGGGCTTCTTGTTCGCGCCGCGTCCAGTGGTAAGAGTGACGCCAGCGTGAAGCATCGCATCGAACTTCTCGAACACATCGGTCGGGCGCTGGGTATCGGCTTGGTTGTTGATGGCAACGCCGAGGGCTTGGCCGGCGTTCTCACGCACCGGCGCACCCTCTTCTGTCCCTGGTTGACGGTAACGGTGCATCCGCAGAACGTGCTCCGAAACCTGCCGGTCCCGAGTATCCTCGATATCATCGGTAACGACGAACAACAGATCGAAACGAGACAGGAGGGAGTCTGGAAGGGCGATGTTCTTATGGGGGTCCTTGTGGGTGTCGTATTGGCCAAAGATGGGGTTGGCAGCAGCAACAACGCTGCACCTAGCGTTGAGCGAAGTGTGAATACCAGCCTTGGCAATTGTGACAGTCTGCTGTTCCATGACTTCGTGAATTGCAACACGATCAATATCGGACATCTTGTCGAACTCGTCAATGCATACCACGCCACGATCAGCCATGACCATAGCTCCGGCCTCAAGTCTCCTCTCACCCGTCTCCTTATCCGAAGTCACAGCGGCCGTCAGACCGACACCTGAGGAACCTCGACCGGTAGTAGCAATTGCTAGTGGCGCCGTATTGAGGACGAATCGAAGAAGCTGGGACTTGGCCGTGGAGGGGTCTCCCACCATGAGGATGTTGATGTCACCTCTCAAATGAGTGCCATTTTCCAAATTCTTCTCCATGCCACCAAGCAGCATCAAAAGAATTGCCTTCTTGATGTATGCGTGGCCGTAAATACTGGGCGCGAGTGACTGGGAAAGGAGATCGAGAAGATTCTTCTTCTTTGCTACTTTGTTGATGTTTCGAATATCCGTATCGGTTATAGTGGCAGTGGCCACACCACCTCCCGATTTCGATGACAGGAGAAGAATGTGATTGGCGATGATAACCGTCTTGAACAAGGCGCTATTATGGTTTGTGTTTCTGTTCCCGAGGGTTCTGTAGATACCGACGAGTTGCACGCGGTCGCCAGGCTTGACCTTGTCGACAAGGTCATCATCGAGGATGACATCCACGCCACGAGGCAACTGACCCGCTGGGGCACGCTCGGGCATCTCCTGAATAGAAACGGTCTGGTGATCTCTGTAGGTGCTGAAGCCGTACTCGGTAGTAAGCGGGTTGCCTTCGTCGTCCTCTTGAGGGTAGGCGCTCGATGTGGTGACTCCGTTGGTCATGGTCTGGTCTTGGTACTCCCGGAAGTGGAAGACATCCTTGTTCTCGTTGTAATGCACACTCTTGACAACCTTGGGCCGAATCAGCGAGCATCTCGTCACAATGCCTTCGAGGGACACCATGCTGTTTAGGTGCTGGGAGGACAATGTGCGAGGGTTGCAGGCATTCATGCCAAAGCTACCGGCCCATGCGCAGTAGTAGGAGATCTCATTCAACTTTTCCGCATCGCCGGACTGGGGCAGTGTCTTGACGATTTGTTTCAGGGCATGGTTGAAGGCAAGACTATAGTCGAAAGGGTCTTGAAGAATTCCAGAGGCAAGTTCGGCATTATGGGCGCGTAGTTGGTCGAGGTTGACAACAAGTCTTCTCTGCTGCTTTTGCAACATCAAGATGATGGCGGATCTGTAGCTGCGTCCTTGAGAGTCATTCTCTGCGGTCGAACCAGGTCAGTGTGCAACATCCAGAGGCGCACAGATATGTACGGGTATGCGAAGGCAAACGTACGAGGATCGAGGAACTCCTGGGCCAAGCGCACGCGGTCCAAGGCGGCTGCATCCTGCAGCATGAACGAATCCATGGCGGCGGCAATTGTTGTCAGAGTCGAGACTTAATTCAACGGAAGTAAAAGAGTCTCGGGAGAGAAGGGTATCAAGTGCGTGGGGTTTCAAAAATAGCTGACAACATGAGGTATCCGTACAAGGAGGCTGCAGAAGTGTCAATACTGAAGGGTCGAGGTGGAGGGGGAATGTGATCCGCCGCAGAGAGTGTGAGCGACAAGGGAAAAAAAAGGAGGGGACCAATTCCCATCCAAAAACGCGAAGCGACGCGCCCCGATGTGGGACGCGTAAAGTGGTTTTTGGTTTGGCAAGGCAACCGTGGCTTGCCCCTCTGCGCCCTAAAGACATGTGGCTGATGCCGACCTCCCCCCCCCCCCGCCTTCCAACAATGCTTGAGGTAAGGTACTTCGGTACCTGGCTAAGGTAGGTATTTCAAGCGTCACATAGTCCAGTGCATCGTCGGTCTGTCACCATATTCGCCCTAACGCCGACCACGGATTGGCCTATCCTGGTGTTGAAGATAAGCTGAGAACCATCTGTCCGCTCAGCTCATACTTGGGTACAGGTCGTCACAGTAGTCTCATTCCGCCGTTTCCTAGTGTCTCTGCAGAATTCGAGACGCTCGCTTTTATTCCCACGAGGGTTTGCCCCGAAATGCGGCTCTCGGTTTTGCGGCATTTCCTCCTCCACATCGTGAGGGGCCATTTCTCTGTACTAAGGTGACCTGTCTTCGGCACGCCAGAATCGTCGTTACTATAACAGTACCATTTGCGGGCCATCATCCCGACTATTGCCCAGCGTTGACACTTCCGCCGGGGCGAGATCAGCTCACCTTTCGTATCCCACGTAACACGCCTGTTGGACCACTTTGGGTGCCTTTAATATACCCTGCCCACGGGAGGCAGATAACACCCGGGTCAATGCCGTGTCTTCGTCGCACATGAACCATGCTCACATTACCTCGACGGTGTGGTTCGCCGAGAAAAGCTACTCGCTCGTTGTAGGCCTCGACCTGTCAGTCTCAACAATGGACCATCGTAGGGACCATCGTAGGGACGCCCGCCGAATCGTGGAAAAATCAGAGACTTGCCTACCAGATAATCTCAGCCACGTACCCAAGACCCAACAGTCTGGGACGCCCTGGCAAGTCTTGCTTCCGCAGGCTTCTTGCAGATACGAAGCAGATTCTCCGGTGCCCACTTCCTTTCAGCGTCGTTGTTTAATGCAACGTCTGCTGTCAAACGTTGGTCACCCGCATGGTGGACGTCGAGCTCATGGAGTGACACTTTACCCTATCGACGACTCCGTGTAATGGGATTCCTTGATGCTCTTTCTCGTCCTTTGGTAAGCACGTGTCCACTTATAGCCGATCCGCAACGATGAGACAAGGGAAATGTCTCGTACCTTTACGCACTGAGCTACTACCAGTCGCAAAAGATTGCACCAGGCGGATAGCGCGCGAATACCTGCTTTGCTGGCATAGGTTGCAACTCGCAAGTCCAGCCGGTTAATTCTATAGAGGATCTCTTCCTCCACTGCTGGCCCCAAGGTCGGACTTCATCTCACTAGTGACGAGTCACATCCGCCAATCCTTGTCGCTCTCAACCGGTTCTGTATGCATACAGGGGTTGAATGAGAAATGGAAATCCAAGGGGGCTGGGCATCGTCGGGTGAGATAAGGGTGTAGAGATATCGCCGGTGCGGTTACTTCGTACATGAAGTTCACAATGCAAGAACGGTCTTGCAGTTGCCCAATATCTGTACACGCACTCAGCGGGAGGAAACTTCTCGCGACGAGAACATCTATGGTTCCATACTAACTTATCTTGGGCACGGGACAGTGACACCGAAATGACCGGCCCGAAAGTATATCGGCATCCCGATGAAAGGTGACACGGCATCGGAACGATCCGACACTGTTACTAGCTGCTCCACCTTCGCGGGTCCAGTCTCTCATCGGATACTCGCAGCTTGCGAAGATATCGCAAATCAGCTCAACGGCGCTCTGAATGCCCTTCCCCATCGACGATTCTGCGAGTACCTCAAAGAGATAATCTTACATTTTCTGTTGAGATGGAGTGCTGGACTCGTATCAGAGGCGTCATTTGCTGCACGTCGTTCCGCGGCTATCCGTTTTCGTACTGGAGCGGCATGGCGCATCGAGAGAGAGCACCGTTTGGTAAGCCGATGGTGTGCCTCCGTCTAGACGGGGGCGGAGCACCATGCTCACGACCGGGGCCAGATCAAGCTCACACGGCTCGCTTGGCCGGGGGTATTCTCTTCGGTGGGAGGCTTCCGTCATGGTTCTCCAAGTTGTATCACTCACTTACCTACTCTGAACTCTATTCTCCATATCCACGCCCCCTCTCCACACCACGGTGGATGCGCCAATGCGTCCCCCTCCTCCCACGTCAGGCTTTGGTACGCTACCTCGGACCCTAGTACAGAGAGGCGGACATTCCTAGGTTCGGCTTGCCGATATCTTACACATTAATGACTGCAGGTATTGAAGCACTTGTGAAGAGGAGCTTCGTGAGATGGGAGGTGAACAGTATTAAAGGCTCGACAAGAACGTTGGCCTGCTAGTGTTGTCCACTGCTTACACCGCTCTATTCCCTCTATCATCCAGACCTTGCTTACGGACCCCAACCAATACGCCGCTCCTCAACGTATATCGTGCTTTACTCACAATGGTTCTCAAACCCCTTGATACCGTAGAGTTCACTGATGCGAGCCACTCACCAGTGCTTCATCGAGATCTACGGGGTCAGTTTGCACGCATTGTTGGTGGTGAAGGTCACCACTATGTGGTAGAAGGTGGCAGAAAACTCTTTGACGCCTCTGGAGGCGCCGCTGTCGCTTGTATCGGTCATGGTGACAAAAGAGTGGCAGACGCTATGGTGCGGCAGATCAACAGTATCGCATATAGTCCTTCGACATTCTTCACAACCCCCACCTGCGAGAAATTGTGCCAGTTTCTCGTCGATTCGACCGGCGGCCAGATGTCACGAGCTTACCTCGTCAGCAGTGGTAGGTCTGATGTAATCGATCAGGGCCGATTTCTTGTTAATTATTGTAGGATCCGAGGCCATGGAGGCAGCGATGAAGCTCGCAAGGCAGTTCTTCCTAGAGAAGGACACGCCAGAGCCACAGAGACACCTTTTCATAGCTCGGGAAAGGTCATATCATGGAACAACTCTGGGCGCACTTTCGATGGGTGGTCATGTTTCTCGCCGAGCTAAATTCACGCCGATGCTCCTCGACAACATCGTCTCTCATGTGGCCCCTTGTTATGAGTACAGGGGCAAAGCGCCTGGGGAACCGGACGCCTCATATGTGGCTCGCCTTGCTCAGGAGCTCGACGATGAGTTTACACGGGTAGGACCGGGGAATGTGTGCGCTTTTGTGGCGGAGCCGGTTGTTGGAGCTGTAAGACGATCCGCTGAAGAGGCACAAAGCAGCCGTGGTCTAGACAAGATCGACTAACATTTCTAAATAGGCTCTGGGTTGTGTCCCATCTGTGAGCGGTTATTTCAAGGCTGTGAAGGCAGTTTGCGATCGGCATGGAGCGCTTCTGATTATGGACGAAGTCATGAGCGGCATGGGCCGCTCTGGGACTCTCCATGCTTGGGAGGGCGAGGGGGTAGTACCCGATATCCAGACTATTGGCAAGGGCCTAGCCGGGGGTTACCAACCGATTGCAGGCGTTCTGGTCAACAAGGGAGTAGCCGATATGTTGGAGAAGGGTTCCAGGTGAGTTCCATGGAGTGGTCTCTGAGTGCGTCTCGCTGGTGAAAGGGCCACGCTGACGCGGTACAGTTGTTTCGTTCATGGGCACACATATCAAGGCCACCCTATTGCGTGCGCAGCAGCACTTGAGGTACAGCATATCATTGAGTCGGATGGCCTCCTCGCCAACGTGCGAGCCATGGGCCAACTCCTTTCGGAACTCTTGAAGGAGGGCCTCAAGGACGAACCTTACGTGGGAGATATCCGCGGCAAGGGACTCTTCTGGGGTATTGAGTTTGTGCGGGACAAGGTGAGCAAGGAACCTTGGCCAAGAGAAGTACAGGTGGCGACGGAGATGAGCGATCTTGGGCGCACCGAAGAATACGGCATCGTGATTTACCCTGGTGCGGGAACTATGGACGGCGTTCTAGGTGATCACATCATTGTGGCGCCGCCGTATACTGTGACACGGAGCGACGTTGAGTTCATTGCCGAGACGGTGGTGAAGTTGATCAAGAGTTATTTCGTCGGACTGGAGAAGTCCCGGTCAGCTATTTGACTGACTTGAATGTCACTATTGTCACAATTTCTACACTGCATGTATACCATGCGAGAGTAGCAAGAAAAGACTAGTTTGGCAACGTTCGATAATACCACATGCGTACTAAATAATAGGTATATGAAGAGACAAGAAGAGTATATGGAAGAAGTGGTGAAAAAACCGAGATTGTAAAGTTACTCTAAGAGAGAACTTTTGTTGAATAAAGTGCGTTGAATAGAACCTTCATACATTAAGGGTGGCGATTTCGTGGACCTTGTTTCTAATTGAAGTGATAAACGTACGGATATCTGGGACTCGAAAGGCATGAGAGGGCGGTGCGACAAACATGGGATGACATAATCCATCCCAACTGTTCATCCAACCCCCAGGTTCCTGAACTTACTTGCTCTCAATACACACAGGCGACAGCGCAGCAGAACCACATGTACCTCATCCGATCAGCTTAGGCACATTCGGGTGCGCCTGACATAGCAGAAGCCCGCAAGAGCACAATACACATTCCCTTTCCCCATCCGTACCAAGCTCTCGCTCCGCACGTCCTGCCGTCTGCCAATGTACCCTCGGAAGCTCACCACCACCACTTCTGAGCCAGCCATCCCACGACTTCGTAGGTGATTTTGCCTACGCGGAGATAGAGCACTGGCGACACGAGATTACACCTTCGGCAATCCTGATCTCGCCCGGCTCTTGACTGCCCACGAACCCCACAGCGCTGACGACGGTCCGATCCTACACTTCAACTCCCTGCGGTCTCCAACTCCGACACTCCTTGCTTTACCCCCACCTGGCCGCAACTTGCAAGCGCTGTAGCAGTAAGGGACGCGCACAATGTCCGTCGGGCCTGCGACCAGTCGCCATGCCGACGAAGAAGCTCGTGCTGAGGTCGATGTGCTCAACTCGCGACTTGAGAAGACTACTCAATTGACCAAGAAGATCCAAGCATGCATGGGAAGGTTGGAATCTACCGGCAAGAGCGTCAAAGAAGTAGCCGGTCCTCTCAGTGGAGAGACGAAGAAGCTTCAGGTCTTGGGCAACAGTACGTCTATACTCACGCATGCTTGACAGGGCTTCAGCTGACATTGACACCCTCGCTCGCAGATATCGATTCCGTCCTCGCTGCCATCGAACGACTCCGTCAACCCGCCGATAGTAAGAATGACGAAGAACAAATCATCCGCGCCGGTCCGGACAAGGCTGGTCTTTCCAACTACCTCGCCTCGATCAAGCGACTGTCCAAGTCACTTGAGAATATGCAAGCCTCCAACCTACGAGCGAACCAACAGACAATGGCTGAGCTGGTCCGCCTAATCAAGTCAGGCAACTCTCAGCTTGAGGGCCATTTCGACAGACTGTTGCGAGGAGAAACCCCACGATCAATCGAGCCGCTGCATTACATTACCAAGGATATGCCATTCCCTGTACTGTCCCAAGACAAGGTGACACGCCTCGGCCTAGTCAACTCGTACATCACGAGCAACCATCGCCAGAACGCTGGTGCTGCCGCTGCCCCGCAAGACTCGACCATTGCCAAGATCTATGCCGAAATACGCGGTCCCTATCTTTCCTCTACCTTGGCCAACCTGGCTGCTGCCAGCGTCAACACGACGAAGAAGAAAAACCCCGATGCTATCTACCGCGCAGGCACCAATGGCATCGGCACGTACGCGCAGGCCATGGAAGGCGCGTTTTTGGCCGAGTACGACAATATTTGTAGCATCTTTACCCGCGAAGATTGGGGTCCCCTCTTCCAAGCTACGTGCCAGAGCGCTATGGCCGAACTTGCACGTACTTTGCGGGAGCTGAACAACCACATCAAGGGGCACTTGGACACAGACTGCTATCTCGCCTACGAGATCACCGAGATCATGTCTGGTCTCTCAAGCAACCTGGAGACACGTACAGGCGAGCTCAAGTCTTCACTTGCCTCAGCTCTTCGGCCTGTGCGAGAGACTGCTAAACTCTCGTTGGGAGAGTTGTTGGATGACACGAAACGAAAGATCGCTGCTATGCAAACACTTCCGCAGGACGGTGCACCGATACCTATTATATCGGCGACAATGCAGCGGTTGCAAACCATGGTTGAATTCCTGCGGCCCGTCTCCAGCATCATGTTCTCTCTAGGCGACGGAGGATGGAGATCAAATGCTGCTGCAGATGGACGATCAACCGACGCAATTCCTAGTCTTGCTTCCTTTGATATTGGCGCAGACGGGAAAGAAATCTTCTCGCACTACTGCTCAGACACCGTCGAAATGCTCATGGCGGGACTGGACTCAAAGGCCAAGATGGTTCTCAAGGGCGGCCGAGCTGTGATTGGCGTATTCCTGGCCAACAGCGTTATCATCATTGAAAGAATGATCCGCGACTCCGACCTTGCACCACTCCTTGAGGGCAGGATGAGTATGCTGGACCAATGGCGCAAGAAAGCAACGGGCATGTATACGATGGATTGCAAGGAGGTCTCCACGCACTTGTTTGATGTGATTCACACCAGCAAAGCAAGACCCCAGTCCGGACAGGCTGATTCTGCCTCAATTCTCAAGGGCCTTAGCAGCAAGGACAAGGACAACATCAAGAGCAAGTTCCAGGCATTCAATGCCTCCTTTGATGAAATGGTCAGCCGGCACAAGACGTACAACATGGAAAGGGACGTGCGCCAGATGCTTGCAAGAGATATTCAGCAGATGCTCGAGCCCCTTTACAACCGGTTCTGGGACCGGTACCACGAAGTTGACAAGGGCAAGGGCAAGTATGTCAAATACGACAAGTCTCAAATTGCCGCTGTCTTCATGACGCTCTATTGAGGAGGGCATTGTGTACGCATAGATCATACCCGACCATGTTCCCGGTGAGGATGCCTGGTTCTTCTCTTGTCACCTTTTTGTTTGTTTAGCATTGTTCTGGAACTTTGGCGGGGCGTTTCGGTGGCGAATACCAATTCATGGATTGGCGATCCTTCTCGTGCATATAAAACATCACATTAGATCTCATCTCTTGTTTCAAGTACGTGGTTCGGAGCTGTCGTGAGATCAATATGCCGGACCATGTCAATTAAGCATGGTCATCATTCTCATTCGCCAAAGGCTACCCATACTAAAGGTGTAGCCATCCATGCCGGATGTTTACATTGCTCAGCAAGGTCTATTCCCATACACTGCTACATTTGGCCACCTTGGCTTCAGCCTAAACCAATGTGCCAAACTCAAATCAAGTCTTCTTGAAGAGCAAATCGATGCGCTCCAACCTGTGCCACATAATCACGCCGTCGCTGGCGCGCTTGAACCACAAAATCCGATGCTGAGGGATGAACTCCTCATGCGTCTGCTCGCTCTTCCAGGCTGACAGGGCTTTCTCCTGTGGTCCCAGGAATCTGTCCTCGTATCCAATGATGTAGTCGTTGCTGTCGATATCGGGATCCCATCGCAGTCGGTTGAGCACATCCAGCGCAGTGCGGAACTTGCCCATTCCCTCAGGCTTGGGGTTGGTCGTTCCCGTGCGCTGCTTTGATGACTTGGTCTTCTTGCTCAGCTTCTCGGCGGCGAGCCTCTCCAGGGCGGCCAGCTCTTCCTCGTCCTCGTCCTCGGTGTCGTCTTCGTCTTCTGTGTCCGAGTCGTCGTCGCCGTCGACGTATGCACCCCATTCACGATCATCCAAGCGCAAATCTCCCAGCTCACTGGCTCTGACTATTGTCACGCTGAACCATGATGTGTTAGGATCAAAGTACTTCTCGTCACACAGGATTAGCTTCTCAAACTGCTGCAAAACGGCCCTGAGGTTGCTCTGTGCAACTTCCAAGTCGCCTTTGTCTGGCTTCTCGTCCTGTTCCATCCATTCCAGGCCGACGAGGTATGAGCCCTGGTAATCGCCCTGGGTGTTTTGAGGGTCACACGTAGATTCGTCGACAAATCTCGCAGGCCAGATCCTCGCTGAAAGCTGCGGGACTCTTCTGTTGATATCTTTGGGCAATGCCAGCAAATGAGCAGCACGTAGGATGGGGGTCAGGGTTGACGGGGCGACTTACCAACGAGGAGAGAGGCACATCGAGACTCTAGCCAACCGATAAGCCTACTTCCACGCTCTAGCGATGCTCCCCAGTAATGTACTCGCAGGTCTACAAAGGACCGAAACGACGTGAGAAAGTTCGTAGCGCTCGGCGACATGATGTTTCCTCGGCCGGGCTCCGGCACTGGAAGCAAAGATTCCCAACTTGCGCTATCGGCGGATAGCAGCTTGTTGGCTTGTCGGATTTCGGTCGCGATAATCTTGACGGTCGGGACGGAGGCATTGAGTGCCGTGTTGAGCGTTGGCGAATGCCACCCGAGCAGAACCAGGGCCTCTCTACTTGTTCGGTGGTATCTGAGGTTCTTATGGAAGAACGGGTCGAAGACCATGTCGTTTTGCCAGTCGAACCGCGAATAGTGGTCAAAGAAGGTCGCAATAACGTCGGCAGCAGAAACAGCACCACCGTTGTGCAGAAGCACCTTGCAGACATTGACCAACATGACGGTCAGGTGGATGCCTCCGAGGTATCCAAATTTGGCAGCGTAGACTCCACGCGCCTTGGCCCAAGTCTTGATGGTCTGGTGGCTCAATCGGAACTGGGCCAAGTCCGGGATGGATCGCTGGAGATAGAACAGGTCTCTCGCGGGCTTCAGCTTCAACAATGTCTGGGCAGACAAGCTGAATGCCGGGTCTGAAGCGGGACGCTTCAGAACGTCGGGCCACTCGCCCACGATGTTGGGCGCCTGGCAATACTGGAGATCGCATCTCACGCCGAGAACCTCCACATCGAGCATCGTCCCGGTCTTGGCTTTGACTTTCCTCAGAAGACGAATACCAGGAATGCCCGACTTTCTTAGTCTTTGTCTTGCCAGAGTGAAGAAGACACGGGGACTGATGGACCCGATGAAGAAGCAGTCGATATCCGAGTTCCTAGACCAAGTGCCAAGACCATAGGATCCTACGGGGACAAGTACAATGGCCGGACGGCCTCGTTTGTTGTCCATGTCTGTTTGGTCGGACTCGATTAGGATTTGACGAAGTAATCGAATCGCCTCAGTTCGAACTGCCTCGTCTTGTGCTGATGGAAACACCTCGAGATTCTCCAGGCACTTGGTCAACCCTGTGGTATCTGACAAACCGTCTGGCGCTCTCTTGAGATCGAGAGGGATCGCCCGTGCATTGCTGGTGGCATCCTTTGCGTGTGAGCGCTGCAAGAGACATCGAACACCCCAGTGATCACTTGGGTACAGGGGCTCTTCTCCGGTCTCATTCTTGCCAGCGACGAAGCCAAACATGTTGAAACGAGATATCTGGAAAGGACCGGCGCCCTTGACCAAGATGCGGTCGTATCGCTGTGGACGGTTGCCTAGCCCAGTTCCAACCATCTTGCTGGCGTGGGGGTTCGCAGTAGGGTCAAAAGTTGCTCCTTGCTCACCCTCAAACATTTGTGTGAGATCCCCTCTGAAGTTGTCACTCACGCCAGTCTCGATGCGCGAGACCATCCATACGTCTAAAAGGTCGGCCTTTGCCAGAGTTGTTTCGATGCCTCGGAGGATATTCTCTGTCTGGACAGTGATGGCCCCCTTCTTGACAGCAGCGTCCACAGTGTAGGAGGATGTTGTGATGTTGAAATCACCCGCGATGATCCATTGATGTGAAGCGTAGTTGTTCTTGAGATGACTCAGTAACCCCTGGAGTTCCCTAAAGATGATATGTTAGTACAGAAAACATATTAGGCTCGGCAGGAATCTGTGGCTAACCTTTCCTTGGCAACCACTGCGCCGTCTGTCAGACCATGGCTCAGGTGACAAGTTGCCAGGACCAGAGGAGCAGCCGGTTCCTCTCCCTCGCCATGTGCCAGATCGCCAAAGCTGAGTATGCATGATCCCTTGTGCGGGCGTACGAAGGGAAGATACTCCCATGAGAATGCATACTTGCTAAGGACCACGTGGTTGAGAATGCTGGGCAATGGACCGGCAGTAGGGACGTCAGGAGACCCGTGGGAGGCATTAGGGTACAAATTGCGAATTCGGTTGTCTTTCAGTAAGAAAGGTAAGAAGTCGTCTGTCACTTCCTGGAGTACCAAGATGTCCGCAACGGCATTTCGTGCAAGTAGATTGTCGACAATAACGGGGTATCTACTACGGGACGGGGGCCATTCGAACTCTGCCAAAACGTTCCAGCTGGCGACGATGAGATTCTCTACTGCCTTGACCTCTGGGCGGGGTGAGGCTGGATCTGAAGCGACAGGCCGCCAACCCAAGTCTTGGCTGGAAAATCTCCATGATCGCTGTGGAATAATGACCGAAGCCATTTTGGGGAAGAGCCCAAATGAATCATCGCATTGACTCAGTGAAGGTGAAGTGAGATCAATAAGACCCCAGAGCTTCATTTGACCGGAAGCATGACGAACTAGGACGGCTAGTTGGGTGGCTTCCCAAGTAATCGGTGGTAGGCGCCGTAACTTCTCGAGGAGAAACTTGAGTTTAGATGACCCTGCTGAGTCCTCGCACTGAGCAATCGTCATGTGCATTCGGTACGGAGTAGGACGTGTTTGGCCTATAGCTGTGAGAATTGCAGCGCGCAAAGAGGCAAGGTGAAGATTCCTTTTTTCATCCTTATCACATAAAAATAAGGTGTTGCCGTGCTTATGCTCGAAAAAGTCTGGCGAGTCGAGAAGAAGAGGAGTATTAGCGAAGTCGCCAGTTTCCTGTCGAGCCTTGAGGCAGTTGACAATGGCATCACAGGCTTGGTGCAGAGACTCCGAGTCCGTAGATCTGGTGAAGGGGTAAACGAGGTTGATGTGAGGTGGCCATTTGGCATAGGCCTTGTCATTGTGGAACCGAAGACGGTCGATTGGCGGCCATTGTTCCTTGGGTGGGATGAGGCAAAGAGCCGTGTCGTGAGTTGATGGGACGCTGAACTCCATTTGTGTTGGTTTCTTGGCCCCGGTAATGGCTTAGATCGCCCGTAGTTTTCGAAAAGGTTTGGTTTGTTGTGTGATACGTAGTGAGCCCAGAGGCGTATGTAATTGACAAGAAAGAAGTCGAGTGTCTGTGTCGGTCGGTAATGGGCCCAGTGGGATTATACGATAATATTACGTTTACTTGATGATCGAGGTTGCTTACATGTAGAAAGGCGTGAGGCTTACGATCGCTTTTGTATTGAGCGGCCCGAGTGAGAAACTCGACTCGTTCAGCCAGAGAGGCACGAGAGGTAATTAAGGTCCGTGTAAGTGTAAGTGTGTATCCGTAGTCGTGCAGGCTGAGTCCGACATGGGAATTGAATCAAACGGATTCTCGGCGCATCCCATTGGTGTGTTCCGCATTGAACGAGACTGGCAAACCCTGCAATTCTACGATAGCTTCCCCATTAACTGTGGGAATGTCTTCATTCTGCAACCGGGGCTGAGGCTAATTGCGGGGAGTGGGAGTCACTGGCCGAGTGTGTCACTGCGTCAGTCTCGTCCCGCTTTCCACTCACATCTACTATGTATCCGTACGGAGTACGACTAGACTTTTGACCTCAATGCCCTGACAAGGAGGTAAGCATATAGTTTCATCCAGGTCGATGAAGTGAAAACCGGGATGGCGTGTTTGCCCATGTCCTGGAGCGTCTAAACTACCTTGGGTACTCGGAAGAGCCTGAGAGGCGCAGGTCTGGGGCGATGCGGGGCGGTGACTCACTGTGGTCGGTTGTTCCATCTGAAAGAGGTAAGCTGCATGGGAGGGACCCTGCCAATTGCCAATTGCTTGCGTTCCACGACTTGAAAGCTCTGCCTTACCACACCTGCTCCATCGCAACGCTTCATCGCCAACTTCCGACTTGGCGTCGAATGAGGCTGATATCACCAAGATAGATACCATGTAAGAACTTGCTAAGTGACGCGCTTACTTTCATAATATTCTTAGGTCCGATCCATCAAGATTTGTAAACGCGGGCATTAGCAGACTAGGTAGTTGCTCAGTGAAAACCGATTACATGTCACCATGTGTGTCTTTCTTTTACCCGTTAATCTCTTTCTCTCTCACCTTCTGCCTTCTGCCTCAGTGTCGATTCTCAAAACATTGCCAGATACAAGTCTGCGGGAAACGCTCAATTAAATTCGACATCGCAGCTTGTCGTTAAGTTTTGATTCTGAGCTATTCAGTCTTTACTCTGTTGCTACTACAGAGCTGAGGTAGATCGCGGGAACTCATCACAAACCTGCCATTCCTAGACAAGGCAATGTACCATCTTCACATGGCTCAACCGCCCTTTTGGGTATCATCAGTCCACACTCTTCTCCCCCGCCAAGTTATCGCGCATCACGCCGACCGCGAGAGCCTCAGTCGGCGTGATCCTCAAGCTCGGGTCCAGTTCCACCCCAATCGATGGACGTAACGCCCTTACCCTTACCCTCCATAAGTGCCTCCAGCTTGTCCTCGTTTGTCACATAGGCTCCGTTCTGCCTCTTCTGTGCCATAGCATACTTGATTGAATCTCTCCACTCCTGCAAGAATATAGCGTCAATGTTGATACTTGGAAACTGCAGGACCCAAAAAGGCACTGCAACGGCGTTCCAAAAGCTGAACTTACCCGCCACCACACTTCTTCACTTTGCACCATGCACCTCCGGCCCTCCTCGCCGTTCCTGGCCGTCGCAAAGGGCCATACTGACTGCACCACTTCGTACTTGTGCTTGCTCGTGAAAAGGTTCTTCATGCCCATGTAGAGCTTGCTCGGCTTCTCGGCACTCTTCACCTTGACCTTGCAATGCGTCACGGGAAACGAGATGTTGATCTGCCCTTTGTACTGAGTCGAGGCAATTAGGCTACGAATCTGGCCCTCAATGTAAAGCGTGTCTAGGTTGGCGACAACTCGCTCGAGTGCTGCAAGGCGAAGACTTGACGTTAGCCATCTTCAAAACAAACGCATACCGTATAACGCAAGCCGAACTCACCAAAACTTTTGACGGGCGCCGGATCCTCGATGAATCGGCGACACCATTCATCCAGCTCTCTGTCACCCACCTCGGGGAGGACGTCGGCCTTGGCGCCGCCGCGGAACGCTACCTCGCCCGGCGCAACACACCGAATGTAGTCCAGACGCTTGCCCATGTCATCAGCCACCAGTAAGCCCATGAGGTTCATTTTGAAGTCAAAATCAATAGTTCGACCGCGGTTTCCTCTGATATGGATCAGCGGCTTGGGTGGAATGCTCGCCTGAGACCTGATGAGCCCTATCAGCGCGCTGGCGCTCGCTGTTAGATACTCTGCCTTGGACGATAGGGTGGTACAGTCGGTTGAAAGAGTGAAATTGGGTGGCGAGTAAAGCTTGTAATCCAGCCTGGGTAGGCCAGTATAATAGTGAAACCCATGTGTGCCTTGGGAATCGTGTGAGATGGACGTCTCCGAGCTATTGGAGGGGCTTGAATATGGCGGGGGTTCCGAGGTACCGGCGCTGTCGGCCGTCAGGTCATCGTCATTGGAACGACTCGCTAGCAATGCCTTTTCTGTTACCAAAGAAGATGATGCTGGGTTCATGATGGACGTTGACACTGGTGCCGGAGGCGGGGGCGGCGGTGGTGATGCCCTCGTCGTCATTGGAGGCAACGGCAACGGTGGAAGCTCCGCCGGCAGCTCCGAGGGACCTGAGAAATCTGTTGGGAGCGCTGGTAGTGACCGAGATTGCAACACCATGGATCGTCCATTGCTCAACGTTGCAGCCATCGTCAAGTTTTGCGTGGTGTTGATATGGCTCGTGGGCATGGTTTAGTACAAGGCGTAACCTGGTCCCTCAGCGAAATCGGACGAACAGTTGAAGGCGTCGGTTGTTCGTAAGCGGTTGATCAAGTCAAAGTCACTGCATGACAATAAGAGGAGTCTCTTGAGGGTAATTTCAGTAATGAAAAGTTCACAGGGAAGAGAAGAAATGGGAGCAGAACAATAAGGTTCAGTTAGTAAAAGAGAAGGGGGAATTGAGACAAAGAAATCTGCATGGTCACCCTTCTCCCCCCTCTCTCTGAATAGTAGCCCGCACTGGGCCTTACTATTAAGCGTTGTCAGAACCTGAGGTGAAGACCAAAGTACCTAAAAAAAAAAATCACTTCAGAAATGTCAGACTGGGGCTTGAATTAGGCACCACCATTCTTCTCCAGCCCCCATGCCGCAGCGGAGTGCGAATGGAGACCTCCCTTGCTCCCCTGCCCGCCATATGCATCAGCCACGACCCACGGTCCACGGCCGGCCCTGGATAGTGGATTGCCGCCCATGCACCCGCGTAACTGTACGCTCCCTGGCGACCGCAGTGGGCCTCGGGTCGTCAGCACCAAACCGCTTTTGGCTTCAGGGTGCCTTGAAGGATCACCATCAACAGCCCGGTCCATCTCATCTCATCACAAGCAATAGAAGAAGTCCGACTCCGATCCTACGAATCGCCTACCTACCCCGTACATGCTACCTTTGAGGCAAGCCATGGATGATAACATAGAGACCTTGTAGCCGGCTGCACGGTCGGGAATTCCCACCCCGACCCTCGGCCGCCGATCCATACAGAGCCGCAACACCAAGTATCAATCACGGAAACGCGGCAGCAGTGTACGAGGAGCACAATTCAAATGCGCTATTATTCATCATCGTCATCATTGCGATGCATATGCATATGCTTAGTAACCGAAAGGATGCCAATACCGCTATCCTCTCAACCCAACGCCAAATAGAGATGTTCTCACACTTCCAAGCTGTGTTGACGCACCGCCTGATCCGCTTGATGATCGAGGTAAGGTATTCCGCATGCCATGCTCAATCCACCAACGCCCAGGTTCCCAAATTCTCAAGAGTAGTGCCAGTCCTCATCTCGTACAGTCATTCGCGGGCTTGCTTCGTCCATCTATCGACTTCAGACAAGCTGGAAACCATCTTCCTCCGAGATGCGGCCGCCCTCCTGGCGCAGGTTTTGGCGAGCCTTGCGGCCCTTGAGAACCTGACCATTCTCATTAAGAATCTCGTACTCCTTCTCCACCATACGCTCCGTCTCGCGGCCTGTCGTCTTGACAAAAATATCGAGCGTCACTGGTCGACCGGGGCTTTCAACCCGATCGAAGCTGTACTTCCAGTCCTCGGTAACAATGTCGCCATATACATCTTGCATTGGCGCCATGTTCATGACTGACCGACTGAGAGGATCCTTAATCTGTTCCTTCGCACGAGCCGCCGAGCGCAGCCGTCCTTGCGGAAACTCCGAGTGTGACCGGAATTTGGTGATGTTGTGCAAGTTCTTCTTGTAGTGAGAGCTATTGCGAGTGTTAGGGATGCCGCTAGGACGTAAAGTGACAAGCGTTCAAGGGCAGACATACGTCTCACTGTTCTTGACCCGAGGCCGGCTCATGGCTCGCTGTTGTTCGGTTCCGCCAACAGCTTCCAGAGTGTTCCAGTCAAGATGGCAACCAGCTAGAGGACGGGCTCCATTAGACCACTTGGATCGTGAGTCCTTTGATCTTTTGAAGTCTTGGTTGGCGCTTCGAAGGTCGCGCTGGTACTGGGTCGGGGATTCGATTGGGCCGGCCATAGTGTCTGAATAGGTGGAGCACGTTATGCTGTCGAGCTGATGATAGCGAAGTATCGATATTCGGGATAGGTAAGCAGCCGTTAAACCGCTTTGCGATTTGTACGAAGGTAGTGTTGGCTTGGCTGGAGCGAACGTCGAGTATGGAGTAGGTGTCGGATGAGTTTGGGAGAGGGGTTGGAAGATAAGTAGGTAGATATAGTCGGTGCAAGGGCAAGTGGAAGAGTAATGTGTGTTTCGGTCCTCGACTTGGGGGAGGTGGCTACCTGATAGACTGAGGCCAAATGAAGGAGGGTCTGAGCAGGACGAGGTAGGTTGGATGAGGTAATCACTCTGATGTGGACGGAAGTGGCCGGGTGAGTCACCGGACGAAGCTGAAGGGCTGAGTTGCCGAGGATGACAACTAGGATTCGAGGCGTCAAGAGCCTGTGGCGGGCTTAATGGTCTGAGACGGGACGTAGAGCGATGGTCGAGACTGGACGGACACAGGTGATGTCGAATGCAGGGTGGGATGGGCGTACAGATGTTCGATTGTCAGGAAACAGAGGCAGAAGTAGGGAAAGACGGAATTCACATGGACAAAGGTTGCGGGATGGCGGATGTGATATAGTTGGCAACGGTAGGTATGTTACGTAGGCAGATAAGGCGACGGACGGTAGGGCGAGCAACAGTAGTTCAAAGAGGACGGGGAAGGCGCGCGTGTCCCAACTTTGGGATCTGGAGACTGGAGCCAAGCTTGCCAGGCTGAGCTCCAACTTCAGATGAGACGGAAAGGGCGTGACGGAGTGGGTTGGTCGCGACACAGGCACGCCGCACACAGGCAGCCCCGGGGGCTGTCAAGGAAGGACCAGGTGCGAGCAAGATGATGTATGCGAGATGGGTATTAGGTGGGCAGGTGGGCAGGTGGTGGCCTCTTGACCGGGAAGGGGGCTCATCGTCTCGGCTTAGCGAACAGACGGGCGATAAAGCTGGATGATAGTGCAGTTGATACGTTGATACGGTCCATGATAAAGCTTGGGGCGTGTGGTTGTGATAGATGGAGGGGGTGTGAGACATGGAATGAAAGTTGGCGAATGGCGAATGCTCACAATCAGTAGTTGCGCCTACGGAAAGGTACGGATAAGGTATGACGAATTGCGAGTTGCGTACGGAGTGTTGCTGGGGGGGACTGCAGGTGGTGCTGCAGAATGCAGAATGCAGATAATACTCCCCCGTCCCTGCTGCACTTTCTCCTGCTTTGGGCCGAAACTCATGGTTCCTTCCAATCAGAGGGATTCCGGAAGGGGCGTGGCGTGGGGAGGACACTGGAAAGAGTCACCCGGTCTCGCCATCCCTCCCCCAAGTGTCATCCCCCCCCAAGTGTCGCCAGCTGCCCATGCCAGCTGTCGCGGGGGTCCTGAATAGAGAAAGGTCATGGTCTGACTGGACCTGTCCACGCCCACCTTCACTAGTTGATGTCATTCAATGCATGCGGCGTGCTCGCAAATGACGAAAAATGCCGTATTCAACTTGCTGCATGCACACTGTGACACTCGGTACGATAAGGTCCTCATCCTTTACGAACCCCCCCAATCGTCAGCTAACCAACTAACGTAGCCGGCCTTGTAAAGGACTACCTATGCGCCTGGTATTGAGGTGGTGATTTGCCATTGGGTGAGGTAGGCCATCTTGCCCGCTGGCGGGCTGCCAGCTCAGCTTGGTTGTGGTTGCTCAGGTCATATGGCCTCCCTCACCCGCACCCTCCTTCTCCAATAAACCAAGTAAGTAGGCAGGTGCTATTACGACAGTAACAACCCTTCTCTTCCAGGGTCAGGTACGTAAGGTGCTTAGACAGGTCTTCGCAGATGCTTCTCTTCCCAAGGACTAACGCTTGCTTACCTTGCAGCCGTCTCCCTGCTCAAGGGCTTTGTGCGTGACTTTCGCCTTTGTTTTCTTTGCCGAGGAAAGATATCACCGGGTCAAGACGACGTCATAGTCGATTTGGTGCGGACTGGAGTTGCAATCAGCCTGCTCTTACGTTGGACAACTGCAAAGGCCTAGGTAAACCCCAGGAAATCATGAACATGCCAAATCATTGTTACAATTCGGCGCACTGCTTCTCGGTTCCGCTCAGAAAAGAAGTTGAGAGAATCCTAGAGCAAGCTCAAAACAAATCATGGATGGTTAGTCACCTTACTCTCTCGGCTCAATGTTGTTATTTGCTACTTCATCCCGAGTCTATTCGTTTGTTTTGCCAAACATTCAAAGACCCGAAGACCCCGTGGACCCCGTGAACGTCTCGGACCCCACGGCACTTGCTCCACCGCCCGGCTCGTGCTCGGGCTTAGTCAGAAGACTCGGCGCTCACTGCACGAGCCAGTCACGCCAGTCGACATTTCACCGCAATGCCCGGGACGGGCCCGACCTTGCAGGCCACGCTGCTGCCATCTACTCACGGGCCCATTTCATGAAACATCGACACTTTGCAAGCTCTCTCGCACTGATCGTCCTTTGGCTTGGCAACCACCACTGATGCTCGGCAAGGTGGCCAAGTGGCATCTGAACAATTACAAAATACGAAGAGGCAAAGTCAAAGGACGAAAGTCTTCGCCATTGCTAATGTCTGGACCGCGCTGCCAAGACGTGCGACTTCTCCACAAGCAGCATCACTCGTCAAGTTTACCAATGGCTTGAGGTTTCTCCTGTGCTCCGGGCTCCGGCAGCCTTTCTCTCCGTCGCCGACGGACAATAGCTGGGTCGTGTACGGAGTTTCCCCGTTCTAACTGCATGATTCAGGTCGGGATGGCTTGACATAACCTTAATCCCCGCCGTACCTGACTTCACCATACGGATACCAAGTCGAGACCAGAACACCACGAAAGGGCCATAATAAAGATGCGCGTCGCCCAGGCAGTCATTTGATTACAATCTTTTTGACTTGAAGCCAACACCCACGATGGGCCGTGTAATGGCGGTGGCCGGGGAACCATCGGTTGCGACCCTTCAGGCCTCAGTGCGTGCATCTCAAAGTCATTCTTAAATCGTCTACAACCTCGAGTAACATGCAGAGCACAGCCAATCCCCACGATCCTACCCGTCACCTTAAAATTACAGGGCCCTATCGTGTCCGTCTTCCTGAACGACCGTGCAATTACTACAACGTACACAGGTGCTATTGGCTGACTGCTCCCTCCATTGGCCGAGACTCTTCCATCCCAGTTCAATGAACTCGACCAAGTACCTATGAACAGAGCCCTGTCTTCAATGTTGCCGATACAATGGTCTTGACAGCGACTAGATTTGTTCGGTCGGCGACTTGATACTCTGAGTGAAAGGGTTCTGGCTCCTAAATTGCTCCAGGTACTGCCAAGTACGCCTTCGAGCTAGTGCTCTGTTCTTCCCGCTTCCTGTCTATTTTTTGTCCTCGTCCCGGGGCAAATCTCGACCTAGTGTGGCAAAGATGCACGCTAACCACACTTACAAGATGCATGGCAAATGAAGGAGTGTGGGAGCCGTCGGATATTTTTTGCTGCTGGAGATCTTCCTTCTCGCGGATACGAGGACAAAGGAGAGCTCAACAGAAGACTGCAACGGTAGCTTTGCAGATGTCCATTACCTAGTAGGTTGCATTGTCAACTGATGTACGAATACAGCCACTCGCCTATCCGCTCGACCCATCAACGCAACGATGGGTTCGTCCGCCGAAGCACTCAAGGAGCGCCTTAACTCTATACACCACGCGAGTACTACACAGACGACGGATGTGGTTAGAAGTAGGCTGCCAAAATGGTAAACCGAGTCCCATTCTTTCTTGCTGTGTTTCGAACTGTCTCGTTTCGAATATTCTTGGCCCACCGTCTACCGGTTTAGTGGTTCCTTTCACCCTTGTTCACACCTCTACGAACTATACCTGGCCCGGCGATTCTTTTATCTCATCTGAACGTCAATAGCTGACCGATGTCAAGCTGGAAACAAACAAAGGAACGGCTGTATCTTCAACCGCATCATCCGCCCATGTCTTTCAATCCTAACGGTTACACAGGGCGGTTTTTAAACTTTGTCTCGACTATGAGCGCCACTCCCAAGCGTTTGGGCGCTGACAGGTACAACGCCTCGCTCTGACGATCCTCGATCGAATGTCGTCTTTCCTTGGTCTCGGCTCATCTCCACAAACCCATTCCACCTGAGGGACTGAAGGCCCTACCATGTCTTCACCCACGAGGCTGTCTTTAGTGTGTTCTTGGCTCTCCAAATGGCAGGTTGAGCTTCCATGCTTTGTCCATCGCACAAGGCCCCTGGGTTGCTCGTCGGGTACGGGCTCCACATAGGATGGCTCGCCGTCCGAGCCACTGACCAGCCGCTTACTCTGTGAACCCAGGATGTGTCGTTGGGTGATACGGTAGCTTCTCAGGTATACACTCCCGGCTAGTTCCTTGACACCCACAAGCGTGTGGTTGAACAAACCTCCTCGGCGCCACCATTCAGGTAGATTTCGAGGGAGTTGCTATAATGGCGTCCTCAAGTTGTATATATGTCTCTCGCGAGTCACCTCCTGCAATCCAGATCTCTTCTTGTCCTTATCTCTATCACCTTCACTTGTCTCCAAGTCTTTACATCTCTTCTTGCTTGGGAGATATTCTTTTGTAGACATAGCGGACGGGCCAAGCATCGCCATCATGTCCCCCACCAGTAAGCTATTCGGGCTCTTCAGCCTTGCAGCAACTGCTCAGGCAGCATGCTCCAACTTTATGATAGACGACTTCTCCAGGTCATCTGTTGGCGGTACCAACAAGCTCAACTCGTGGACCAGTGACGACGGTTCCATGTCAAAGGTCGCTATCAGCAACGGAGCACTCACCTTCACCCCGAAAACCGACACCTCCTCATACTTCTATGAGACCCTGGGATGTGTGAAAGCAACTACCAAAGGCTACAAGGCCTTGTCACTTTCTATCACTGGTCCTAAAGATGCTTCTATGCTGCTGGAGATCCAGTCAAGAACAACATGTAGCGACAACACATAC